TTTTGATAGGCTATATATGGTTCTATACAAGGGGTGTTAGGAAATACAACAAGAGCTGCCTGTCGAGGGTAATTTTGGAAAAAAACGTTTATATACGGTCATATAACCTGTCAGAATTTATTTATAACGAATTTAAAATACATCAAACATCATTCTTTTAGAGATAAAGTGGAGATTTCTTAAATCTATAAATCTAAAGTCACGATTATCCAATGAAAAGTAACGTTACAAACGTGCAGTATTAGCATATTATAATAATATATTGATACATTTATTTACTAACTCGCTATTTTGAAACAAAAAACTATATCATGATAAAAGGTGGCATACCTGTAGCATACAAAAATGAGATGATTTATTATCCTTTACAAATGCTCTCCAAATTGGCAACATTTAGATAAATTAATGATTAAACCATCGAAATTAAATCATAACCACTTTTAAACCGTTTTACTTTGATGCAGTAACATGTAGTTAAGTGTAGGTGTATATGTAAAAAAATGACCGAGGTGACATTAGTCTCTTTAATACGTATAGACTTTTACCCTTTCATTTGATATGTCAATCATGATTACTAACAGGATATGTTTCATTTCAATCAGTTTTTATCCGTTAAACTTATAGAATTACTTACGCTTCATTAAGTACTCATTCAAACTTAATCCCGTAAGCGTTCGTATTACATGTACAACTTTAATTGAACTTTTTTTTCACTTTTACGAACGCTTTCTTATCTATTTGTGATCCGTCACAACTTTTTAATCAATAATCATTTACTTGATTTAAATCACTGTTTTATTATCTTTTAAAGGTAAAACCTTGATATAGCGACTGATTCTCTCTTTTTTTTCAAAAGAAATGTCAACAATACAAATAAAACACATGTCAATGCCAGTAAAAAAAAACAACATGAATTTATCTCATCATTTTGAACCCTTATACTGCAGAAACTAAATGTAACTCGCGTTTGCAATCAATATAGAGAAAACAACCTATTTAGTTGGTAGCTATTTTATTTTAATTTGGATGTTGAAAGCAGGTTTAGGGTGAATCATTATACGATTTAATGTTTTTTTACATGTTTAACTATAATATCCTAGTATAACGGGTCTGCCTCTTAACCTAAAAAATTGTGGTTCCCAGCTTTTGTCAGGTTATGACCATATTTCCTAACATAACAACAGTATTATAAGTTGTTAAAGGAAGACTCAAAAGCGATAAAATAAGTAGTAAGAACTTGTTTCAAAATCGAGCTTAAATGAACATGTTTATTCTAAATATGAACAGCATGTTGATAAATAAGCCATAAAACAATTGTTACAGAATTTCTAAATTACCAAAGACTTTTGTAGTGACAATTAAATGACGCGCACATTGCTGGAAATCAATTCACAAATCACGTTGGCTATATATTTGCTATATTATGAGCAGTTTGTTAAGTTGATAATAAAACGGCATTATTTTTATAAGTATATTTGGTTAAGATACACAGACTATATCAAAATTTTTTTTGGTACAATGTAGTTTACTTAAGATTAAACATAATATTTTGTTTTCCGATTAACCTGATAATGTACATGTTATCTCAAGAACACCAGATACAAGCATAATTTAGTTGACGCGTTAAACAGTTCTTTCCTCTGTGTAACAGTAATATATACGCCAATGCAAACAAACTATAGCTTTATAACTTAATTAAAGATAAACATCTTATCAACATGACTGATTGACCATGTCTCTCATGCGTACATTCTGTAATAATAGTAAACATCTTGGTCAATCTCGATAATTTAATTTGGAGATTTGATTACCTTATTAACAACATCTCTAAAAGTCGTAAATTAGAAGTTTCCGTCTTGTTTATAGGTCTGTCGTATTAGTATTTGAAATTGGCACAGCTATTACAGGACATTGCTATGAAATTATTTAATAAAGAATACGTTTTGATTAAATAAAAATGTGTTGAAATAATTCGACTGCGATTCAATTTCGATATTTAAATTTAAAGTGAATCGGTTTTATTATCATATTCATATTAGCAATTCAAACATTTCTTTCTTATCATTTTATTGATTCATCTTTGTAAGAGCTATTACGAATAAGTTCTTTTCAATAATACCAATCATATTAATTAATATACTAAAAAATTTATGCTAAAGACACCAAAAAATCTAATTCAACTTACCTGATTAAGCGTCTGCATGTATGTTCTTTGTTTGTATGTCATAATGTGAGGTTTATTCACTATTCCAGCATGTCACCAAAAATCTCGAGAAATGTCCTTATTGTCCATAACAATTGATAAATTATTTATGTTCTGCAACACTGTACACCAGTATTAAATCGAAAGAATAGTGACGTTTTGTATGAATAAGTAATAATGATACATGCAAAAACGTATATCTGATCATCAATGCGATCTAGATATATATTGAATAATTGTTTGTAGAAAACTTGCTTCTTTCTGAAAGCTACTGAATAAAGCTTGTCTGATGATTTGTTTAAGAATGATAGTGTTGGAATAGATATTCTGTGACATGTGACTGTCTTCACGGCAAATAGAATCCTGGAGTCAGAGCCGTGTATAAATCAGCGATCAGATGTTATATACACAATTAGCTCTCGATGTCAACTGACTAGATTACAGAGAAAATAGATTGTACATATTATTTTCAATTAAATCTGTAGTCTTTGTTTAATGAAGGCATATCCGCCCGTCAAAAAAGTAATGTTTGCTATCGAGTACGGGCCCGGACATGTCACCAGTCCTGCCCGTAAAAGTTTAATTTTAAAGCACAAAACAATGATAATTTACCTATCTTTTTTTAAACAGAGTATTAGAAAGATAATTAGATTTTCAGCCGAAAGTAGGTCACTGTGCTGCGGTAAATGAGCTCCTTAATAATCAGTAACATGTGACAATAATGAAGGAGGTAGACTTGATAAGGGATGTTGGTGCAAAGCAATGGGCCTGTCGTTCCGGCCGTCACTACGTACAAGGAGCATTTGTATCTTTGTATCCTTAAACGTTCGTTGCCCAACAACTGGTTGAATTGTATTTTTAATCAATTGCAAATGTCCTTAGCCTCTCAACGATGTGTATGTACCGAGGGGGTGAGTTACACGGGAATTTCTTTGATATTTGATGACTTTTGCGATGACGGAATATCTTGAAATTTAATGGATGTAATTTATCTAAACAATACAGATAGACTTTGATTAAATGATTTGATACATACAATATTAAAAAACATTTCGTGGTTATAAATGAAAAGCCAAAAGTGACGTGACGTTATTTTTTAGAGTATCACAGCGTTAAATGCTTGGAAGTGCTCAACTCAGTGCCACAATAGCCCGAAATTAATAGCAAAGGCCATAACATTGGAATTATCATTATGTCGAATAAATTAAGATTTTACATAGTTATCAAATCGAATCAAAAATGACAAATGACGATGGCAAGCAAATTACTTTATTATTTAATATCTGGCATTATATACTTTGTTATGATCGTCAAAGATTTGAACTTAATAAATTAGACTGCAGAAAATATCACCAATTCGTGTCTTATTAACAACATAATATTATATGTTATTTTGGTTTTTGAGTGATATATGTTGATATATTACCTAGCAAGATTTTATATCGCCCGAGCCGTTAGGCGAGGGTGATATAAAATCTTGCCAGGTAGTATATCCACATATATCATTCCAAAACCAAAATAACAATTTTATTTCCCTTCCCATGCCGAGTAAGATTTTAAAATAAATCATTGCTGTTTTAATTGTAACGTCGAAATAAGATTCCCTTTAGGGTACCCCTTCACCACAACATGACGTCACATAAATACATGACGTATTTGCTTTCGTACCTAACGAATGTAAACAAGAGAAAAGGGGTAGTCTGTCGAAGACACTTTTTTGTAATTAATATCAAGCATTGACGAGGCTTTTTTTGTTTCCAATACTGATGAGAATATTCATCATTACTTTTTTTTCATTTGACATTTAAAAAGTGCTTGTATATCGGAATTTACACCGCGTAAAATTGAACCGTACGCGCATCGCCACAACGCATGTTGTTTACAACGTGGGGTACCAAACGGGTATATTTAGTGTGTATATTACCCGTCTGGCTCGGTAATATCAATTTATTTCGACGGATCAATATCCAATCAAAAAGGTTGAACAAAATGGAAGGGTAATAAATTTCCATAGCCTACTTTAAGTAAAACAAATATGCTTAATTAATTAAATATTAAAACTTTCCCCAGGGTAACAAAAATCAGACTGACTGGTATTATTTTAATTGTTAAACATATTTGAAGTAAAGGAAGTAATAATTATCTACGTGCCATGGTAATATATCTTGTTTGTTTGTTTATTTGACTTTACGGCGCACCAACACAGTACAAGTCATATGGCGTCGAAACAGGAAAGATGGTTTTGGTTAACCTCGGGTGTTAAAAGCAACACCAGAGGTCAAAAACACCCGCTGGAGCTGAGAGATGCATAGACTCTAGTTATTCGAACCCATAAACGGTGGCTCCAATTCTAATGCCTCAACCATTAAAGGCAATCCCTCAATCACAAGATGACATATAAGGAACAACATCATTTTACTTAAAACTATTATTTTCTTTAACATCATAACCATGTACATCAATATTAAAAATGTATGTACCAAGATTGGAGTTTAGCTCATGCTAAAGATGATAGAAACACAATCTTTCATTTATTTTTGTTAAGACTGGTAGCATGAATTCAAGTTAGGTTGAACACTTTTTGTAAGATTGCAAGATGATTCATTGAACATCTTAAATATACTTGTATATATAAGACACAAACAACCCTTCAAATATGCAGTAATCTTTATATTTGTTTGTAGTTTATAGTAGTAATCTTTATTTACATCCCATCATTGTTCAGTTATTATACATGTATACACAACGTTGAAAGTTTACAGTATAGCTTGTCAATCGCTTTTGTCATAAAAAGATGCGTCAAAATTGATTGATTTAGCAATAGTCCACACTTTGATTAAAACAGCATGATATGTATTATTTATAATGACATAACACTGTACAACACTTTAATATAATGTTGTTGTTCACTTTTTGATAGTTTTAATATTTTAAATGTAACGAAAAAAATCCAATTAAAAATAAATATCAAGCAATGATATATTTCAGAAACTGTCATGGCTTTGTTGGTCCATCTGAACTTCATTGGATACTGCTGTAACTTGCCGACTAGATCTTTTAGAAGAGCAGAAGTAGTAAGCTAAGAATACTGTTATAGTTAGAGCAATTAAACCACCTATCGCAGAACCTATAATTATACCAATCAGCTTGTTATTTTCACGAGAATTAGATCTGAAAAATATTAATAACAATGGTTACTGTCAAACTGCAAGAAGAAACTTCATGTTACGAGTGTACCAATGTGTACCAAAAGAAACCAAATATCGTAAAGAAGGCTACAAGAGTGCGATTGACACAGATGAAAAATATGTTAGTGAATGTAAACTCCGACAATATACACATGGAAAAATAAAAATGAATTATTAGTTTAATTAAAATATTATTTGGTTTGCAAATTCACACATTGTGGAAAATAGAAGTATTTTTTTTAAATATGTTCCAGTTGCTTTTGTTTACAAGTATCATGGAATCACTTTCAAATTTAAGGTGACAATAAATCAGTTGAATTTTGTTCAGTTGAAATACTCACGATTCGGAAGTTGAGGTAACCCTACTTTTTCTAACATGAGTTCTTTTAGAATTCGAAGAACGTGTACGACCTCTTCCAGCATCCCAACAATCCATGAAACCACCTAGATAAACAATAATTCATTGAAAAATTACCATGCTGTATTTAAATGAATATTTCTTTGAAGAATTTTATATAGAATTCAACAAGATATCCAAAATTTTGATAACCTTGTTGATTTCATACCTTATAATTATTGAAAGGTGGAATAGATTCAAACCGCACTTTACCGTGAAGCATTAAAAGGAACAACCTAAAAAACCTGTGAATATATGCAGCAAGTACGAATAACATGCTGCAAAGTAAAAAATAGTCATTCATAGTCAAAGAAATACTTTGTATGTATATTTTTAACATCCAAAACTCTTTTTGTACAGTACTTACTTTGGAGAACCAATATGCCTAAGAAGAATAACGGGAACCATCTCCGTGTGACCGGTTCCATTGTCCTACAAATACACAATCAAATCTTCCTTCTTCCAACAAAACAATATAAGAATGATTTTCAAAAATGAAATATCATTCTTTGAAATACTACCAAAAGCATATAAATGTGAGTATGCATGTCATAATTAAACTAATTAATACGCAACTTTTAAAATCCTCAACACTTATTTCGGGCAAAACAAATGTTACTTGAACGTTGTTCTGAATATTTTGATATTAATTTAAAGTGTTTGAAAATATTAAAAAGGATGAAAAAGAAAATGAGACATTCACATTGCATGTATATTAAACAAGACTTGACTTAACAACAAGATGTCAAGTGCTGTGTGGCAGCTATAAAACGTTGTCCTGTTCTTTACTTCAGTGTTGTTATATTTTCTTGTCCTTTAAGATCATTGATTGCAGCACAATAAGGTTTGAAAATAACCGCTCAAGTCGGTGCTAGCGGACATGAGGCATGTTGCACTTTTAATCATCTCTCATTGACAGACTTAATCAAACTAAATCTCAAATTTTCATGTTATTTTTGTTGTTTTAAAAGCTTCCGTGGAATCACCCTTTTTCCAGATTTCGATATGTAGATAAATAATGTTGATTGTGGAAAATTAGAGGGAGTTGTATTCATCGATCTAATAAATGCGTTTGATTTGGTTAAAATTAAAAACTTTACAATTTCTCTGAAAAAAATAATTATTTGAGTCGTATTTGTCAAAAAGGAGAAAAATGGGGAAAAAATGAAAGATTACAATTTGAAATGTTCGTAGTCAAGCCAGGCGTGTCACAAAGCTCCATACTAGGACCTTCATAATTTTTATACACACGCAAAAAAAGCCTGTAATCTGTTAACTGCTTACCAGTCCTTCTAACTATTAATCAACAGAACAAAATATAAAAAAAACGTTAGAAATATAATAAAAAAAATAAGTTAAATTTGAATTGTATATACTCACATACAATACTATATTATCCAAACTATTTAATGTATTCGGTGAGATGATACATCACATGTTTGTTCAAAATAAAATAAACTTTTGTTTCGTCGATTCACTTAAAGCAAAATATAAAATGCTAATACGAAGTTATACGATGATCAAAATGTAGATAATTGTTTATATCATCTTTATTTATAACACAAAAATATCTAATTATATACAAGATAACTTGCAATTTAACATACCATTAACAATGATAACTAATCATTTAAAAAAAATTACATTTCGTTCTTACTACGTTTTATTATATATGTAAGGTGATCAAAAATTTGAAAAATAACTCGACTATACTAATTGCATCAAAATAATATCTATGATGAATTATCTATATGAACTTTGTACTTACTGTCATTATTTTTTAAACACCATTATAAAATAAAAAATGATTGGGAATATGAACTGGGCTCCTTGCTGGTAATCCTGTGTTGGGGGATGCGTTCAATGAATGCCGCCCTTTCTTGTTTGGTTTGTTTTTCATGTTTTGTAATATTGTCATTATTCTTTAAATATTACCTTAATAATAATAACTATTATTATTATTGTTATTATTGTTATTATAACTATTTAATTATTATTGTTATCATTATTATGAATTAACGAACGGGCATCAGGTTTGTATCAATGAGCAAGTGGGTCAGTTGTCCCGTATGAAAAAGAAAATCTCAATGTCTTTATCGAACTATAGGGTTACGTTAATCAAATTAATCAATATGCGGGAGGTCCATCATTCTAATTCTTTGCAGCTACATTAGTCAAAACATTTAATCAGTAAGAAAACATAAATGAGAATATCAACATTTTGATACTGGTATCATCTGTGTAAAACAAATAGATATAACTTTGATTAAATGATATGATTCTAATTCATGACCTAATACTATCAAAACAATAAAGTGTGATTAAACAAGTATTTATAGTTTACTTGAGTGGTTGAATCTATGATAGTACTTTATAACATATCTTTAATCACGTCATCACTCATCGCAAATATAGAGCATTAACCGTAACCTTATATTAGTGGAACCGGAAGCGATAACCTTTGGCCAGGCTATCCTGCACATCCGTGCAGTCTGGCAAGGCTCACTTCTGTTGGCTGACTTTCAAATTAAAAAAAAAAAACAGCTTGATAAATTAATCAATCTTTTAATTTAATATGTCGGATAAAAGATCACTATGGAATGTATTTTATATTTCTGTATCTAAAGTATTTCCGACATATTTATTACTGTTGTAATGTCAACATTCATATTTTAGGTTATGCCCTTAGTTTATATGCTGTGTCGATATTGTAAGCTTTACGAATTGTTTTGTAGAAACATTGTATGAAAAAACGTAGTCCCTTTCTATATGGGTTTCAAGATAAGACAATGGATGGCAAGTTTCTTACAGTTATTGTATGCATGGTTTAACAAAAGACAATCCGTATTTATTAGTTTTATTGAAATGAAAAATTCAACTTTAGATGAACCCTTCTTCATATCGCTCAACAGTTATCATACATCAGCAAGAAGGAAATAACATGGCTGGTGTCTTTATGAAATAATTATGTGATTATAATTACATAATAGGTGAATTTTTATTATATTACGGAGGTAATGTGTAGGTCTGAGGAAATTAAAACATTCAAATCTTTTCCATTTCATTTTAAATGTTGAATACTGCTTAAACCGGTGCTAAGGGGCGTGCGCATTTTCTATTATGCCGTTTTGGGCTCTCTGTAGGGATTCTATACTTCTCTATTTAAGATATAAACCTTAACCTTCAAGCACCATTAGCCTTTGATACTAATATAGAGCCAGATCAGCCTGCACATTCGTCTCATATGTCGTTGGCAGCTCATATTTTGATAATGAAACTCCTTACCTAAAATAAACTGCTCCAGTACCAAGGCGACAAAAACACATTCAGCAGGTAAACGAGTTAATTAATTAAGACTAGCTCAAGTAGTTACACTTCTTACATAAAATTGTTCATTCATTCTTGTACCATACCCTCAACAGTGAGGGTTCTTGACCTCCGTATGATCACATCAAAGGATATGCCAAAGGAATCAAGTCACTTAATATAAAAAAAAAATCTTGAATCCTGTTTAAGACGGTGCCAGAAAACATGACAGTCAGATTTCATTATTAAGCTCATGCACATTCTCTCAAACCCAACATGCACCAGTTTCACTTTAGTCATTTTTTTCTTTCCCTTTTTTATTATCATCAATATTGTCCCTTCCAGAATTATTTAAAGGTACAGCTATGTACTTTAATCTAATTTGCTTGAAATTTGGTAATTGTCATAAATTGTATAGAATCAAAGCTATGTAACGTATGTGAGAAATGAATTTAAAACTCGTAAGACGTCTACTTCAAAAAAGATTATTTCTTTGTATATCCATTTTTATGTAAATTTCTTGCCGCCTTATAGCCACGTTTTCACAACAGCAAAATATATAACATTATGAGGAACTAAGAAAAATGACGCCCGCATATAATTGAAATAACTGGTCAGACGCTCTCAAATGTAATTATCATTGTGAAGACAGCTCGCCACTGTGCTGATAAAAAATTCCCTCATTTCGTGGCTTCAAACTGGTGGCCACACAGGAATATTAATCTGAAATTTGGTTTGTGATTTAAGAGTTGTTGCATTAATCAATTGCAGAGGGAGGAAATTATGCAACAGCAAAACACTGTCTGCTCTTGCAAACAATATAAAACAACATATTTTCACACTGATCCTTTCATTTTACATGATATATGTTTAAATAATAACAAAATTATATAATGTATGAAGCATCTTTATTGTTAATCATTACAGTAGCATATTTATCTTATCACTTTATTCTAAATATATACCTATATTATCATTGAACTTTATTATGCATGCAACTTTCCATCTTGTGCCCATTAAACTTTTCTGAATACTTATTGAAAACACACTTTCGTCAACAATCTAACATCATGGCTGGACGGATTAGTGCACGTAATTTCATGCGTTAAGATTACAAAGTAATGAAAATAATTTAAGTAATGATAAAGAACACTGGGTTACAAAAAAATAAACTGGGACAATTTTTTTATCACAGATAAATGTTGGATATCTTTCTAATTTCCGTCAACAATATTTAACGGTGTTATTTCTTTTCATCACTGCATAATCATTTTACTGTAACATTGTCATTATATAATATTTCAAAATGGCTAAATAACAACAGTATTTGTATCAATTAAAAATGCGGTTGAACATTTATAAAATAGCTGAATTATTTGTATGCTTACATAATAAGGACAAAGTGGTATGAATATGAACAAATTAAAAACAAAACACAATCATTTTTCTAAATCTTGGTCTTTAAAAAGATTTTGTCTATGTCTAAGTGTAATGATGGTCGAATTTTCAAGTGCGTTTGTGACCATGATAAGTAAGTTGGTCACAGTCAGGTTTATATATATGTAGTATATCATATTGATAAATCAAGCCATTGAGACAGGAAATCTAAGAGGTCGAGGCTTAATTGTAAATTGAACGTCATTTTATCATTGTATCTGTATAACTTTATCACAGAGAACCACATTATCATACTATAATTATCAAATCAAACATAAAGAAATAAATATCACAAGTCAGTGTATCACAGAAATAAATAAAACAAACAATAACCAACTAATTCGGTCTCTTATTGTTTCAGGAATGTAACACAAATTCTATCTAAAATGTACAAATAATATAAATATAAAATACTCGCCGGGGCTACCGTTTACGTAACTTAAAAACGTAAATTCAAAAAAGAAATAATTCAATCCGAAATCTGCCAATAGCAGTATGTCCTTTGCAAAGATTGGACAGTGATCCAAGATTGTTCAACCTCATATCTAAAATAAAATTTTCAAACACAACCTTAAAAGTGAAGAATCCCTGCAAAAGTCATGATCACAGCGTATTAATTACATTTAACTGCAAACAATGTATTTTGCTGTCACATACAGTACAAAAGGTGAACTGCATCTGAAATTTAATTAACCTTTTATTTCTCTTCCATATCACTATAATAAGGATAGGCGATATAATGTGTATATAAAGTGTACAATTTTCCATCACGACCCTAAAAATGAATCATCATCGTTTGGCAGTTTTTCATGTTGAACATCGCCGTTAGTAAGATGCCGGCGGACGTCCGACGAGATTAACTGTTTGGCGTCCTTCTCTTCCCGTAATAAATCGTCGTAAACGCGTGGCTCCACAAATACAAGACTCGTACGTGGCCGGATACTGCCGTCGTATTTGCGACTCCAGTTCGCTGCAAAAGGATCAAGATAATATTATAAGATAATATTATAAGAAAATATGATTACAATATAAGATATCGTTATAAGATAATATTATAAGATAACATAATAAGATGGCCGGAAAATGCGTCAATATTCATACCTATTTTTGTTTCGAAAGATGTTTTATATAGTATATAATTGTGAATTGTGAAAAAAAAGATATTTTGAATAAAAATATGTTTTAATTAAACGTAAACAAACTTAAGAATTAGAAAATTCAAATGAATTAAATTAAATTTAACGGATCAATCTTTACGCATTGTATACTAGTAAGTGAAAGTAAAAGGGTAATGTTTACTAGGTAAAGCCACACCTGACAATGTCATACATGTACAAAGCAAACTATACGGTTATACGGATAGTAATATATTGAAGGAGAAAGTTCTTTTGTTTAGTAAAGATTGAGGGTAAAGAAATACTTTATAAAGTCTTAATCATGTAACAAGACATGTTATTTCATTAATTCCACATTAAATTCACCAAAAGGTGTTAATAATTTTAAGGTAATATTAAGTGTGTTTTAAATCGGTCGTGACGGTCAGTTGTATCAACCAAACTGATATCGATCTTACACAATAATATAGATCAAGCTATTGTCTTTGCCATTGAAAGTATTGTAGATTCCACATATTTCCAGCTACTGAAATCGAAAACTAGTTTCTAAGAGAAAAATGTTAATTGATAGCTAGTGAATTAATTCAGTTTAAAAAATTGTAGACTAGTATATAAAATAGATAGACAGAGTGTAGAAGATAAAGAAAGATAAAAATATGTATGAGTTACCATCGCTGTTACACGATTGTGTAGACTTAAAACTTCCTGTAATACAGAGTTAATTGCTTTACCGCCGCAACAAATACAAAATTCCTGAACGTTTGCTTACATTGTGCTAATTGAAAGACAATCGTCGGATATGTTAAATGTAACACTTAACGCAGCCTAGCTAATTTAGTTTCGAAACACTAAAATGTATATATTTTGATCCTGCAGAACCAATCATTCGATGTAACCTATAACTACTGACTATCGACTCCGTAGTCAACTTTATGATTTCAGGAAAATCATCTTTGGGGATCTGATAATTGTATTTTCCTGAAAAACAATAAATGCCTATCTACGTGATATATCACAACAACACCAACATTATTATGAAGCCAATGTAACTATTTGACAATATGGTTATATATAAGGATTAAACAAATACGTTATAAAATGATAAGAATAAGCTGACGTACATAATGCAGCATACCTTATAATATTTACTAACATGCATATAAAATACTAGAACTGGTCCTCCAAATTAATTCAACACAGCCAGTTCGCAATGCCTTTTGCTCTAATGCAATGTAATGTTAGAATAAATGTAATGAAGCAAACTGTAAATGAAAAAGCAAGCTTTTCTGATGAAAGATGTCACAAAGCGACATGCAAGATACGATCGCGCATGCGTACATCATATTTTCAGATATATATGACAAATGATGCTATACTTATAAACTTTTACAATACCGTATATTCTTAAGAATTTGTTCAGGATTATAACCATATTTTGGATTTTGGATCTCAAATTCTGACTTGAAAACATAGACACGAGCAGGTCGATCTGTTAAATGATTTACCAAACAACATTAACACACACTTGGCAGTATCCAACTTCAGTACAATTTAATGTTTACCACTATTTACTGTCATTTATTAAATTATCAAAATTACACATATATTATATGACAAAGAATAATGATGGAAAGGGAATATAATATTTCTTATTCACTATGTCGTCTTGGATATACAAAGACCAAAGAAGATTGTGTACTTCAAGACAATTAACTTGCAGTAAATTGCTAAAAACATTTGTTTCTTTTATCCAATTGATGCACACTGTTTCCTTCTTGAATGTCGCTTTATTAATATTGAAATTTCATGACGTTTATGTGACATTATTTACTTGTAGAACAAAAAAAAATATTATTTATATGAATTGAACGATGTTTACTTCCATAAATGAAGAATAATCATAAACGTTTTGAAACATTAATTATGAATGACAATGATACAATGGACTAAAAGCATATTTGCTTGACATTTGTTCTATAAAGCCGATTAAGTAGTTCCGTCATTATTCTTTATATATGAATGTCTTCCCAGTAAAACTTTGCAAAAAGTTTTTATTTCACACAGAATTGTTTTTGTTAAAATGTTATATAACACATCAAAAATAGATAAAAATATATTAAAATTACTGGAACGACATTTTGAGAGAACAAAAATGAAACATCATTCGATAACAATCACTCTTTGAGAAACCAACTACACATTCAAATGACACATTTAGCTCTACACGACAGGCAGTCACATTTAGCGTCCGTATACCTGCAATATCGGCTGATTTAGTGCACCGATTCGGACTAAAGAAAATGGCATCTGCCAGCTCGGCCTCTACCTCTTCTATATTGAAGGAAAAACATTTGGTCAATGTTCTCATTCTTGATAAGTTAGTTGTCATTATATTATCTGGTTACTTACTCAAAATCTTAATTGAAACGATCGACCATGCAATTAATTTTGTGAAATACATTTACTATTTGATCCACCTTCTTAATGTTCTCTTGAGCAAACAACAATAGAGGTAATTATGTTACCATTTACGATATTTTAAATGAGTTTTTGTTCGTCTGTATAAACAAATGAAGTTAAGATTCTAACCCATTATAATACATCTTTATATGAATCAAATTCGAAGGTAATATTTACGACTCTACAGGTACTTTAATTCGACTTGAACCAACAAAAACGTCTATACTTTTTCAGAATATGGCCGAGTTAAAGAAATGGTGGATTAAATAGTCGGTTCATAATAGAATTATCTCTTGCATATACATACTACTGATCGTGTCTATAAAAAATAAAGAAGTACAATATAAATGCAATAAATAGCAACAATTGAAAACAATCAGAAATATTTCAATGTAAACATATTTAGCCCTCAATCAGCTGAAACCAAAAATGATTACTGAGAAGCCATTACCACCAGTAAAGAACCAAGTCAGGTTTTCGCATCCATTTAATCTTACCAGACTCCATACTGTTGGAAGCTAACAATTTGTATTTTGACATTATAAATCCTAATGTTTCAAATTCACTGCAGGCCAATTCCATTACACAAATTTAGCAGCTAAAAGTAAAGAACACTTTGAAGTCATTGACAGGAACAAAATTTGTATAGCATTGAAATTTATCGTCGTGAAAACAAAACTAAAGGTGCAAAAAAGAAACGGCAAGACAAAATTAAAAACCAAAATGTGCATCATCAAAGCGTGACCTGATGAAATATTTGAAGTGAGATTAAAATAAGATTGATAAACAGAAGCAGATCACATAACTGCTCTGGTAGCATAAGATATTTTAGCCTATATGTTTCCCTAAGTAAGATATAAAGAACAGAAAAAAAACACTGTATGTAACTGTAAGACCACAATTCATTACTCAGAAAGGTGTATACTTCTTTAAAAAATGACGACTACTAACCATAAGACGGTCTTTCTTGATTTCTGACTCTACGTAAACCATATGGTGTCATCTGAACTTGGTTTTTCTCTTCTTTTAACCTATACTGAGCAGAGGAATAGTTACTCTCTGTAGTGCCTGACTTCGTAGAGCTAGGACGGGGTGACTGGAATGGTCGTCTTGGGCGGGGTGATGGGGAAGACTCAACCCTCAATCGACCTGCTGATTTCACTCTACCGCCAGATATACAAACTGAAATCGGCATACAACTTTCATTTTTTGGCATTCGGCTTTCACCACGAAATTTCCTCTTGGCTATTTCGTTTTGACTAAGAGTTGTTTGGAAACATGTCTTAAAAATTTGGAATTTCTGTTCGTCTATTTTATTATCTATGTTCATATGCAATTTATATCTAAAACTTTTTGAATGTCGCAGAAAAGATTTAAAATGACATTTATGTAAATAAACACCATGCATTCCAAATAATTTAAATATTACGAAAATCAAATGGTTTCATCGCACCCACAACCATCACTTAAATGAGAACAATTTACCAATTAAAATCTAAATGAGTCTGGTTCCTATTCTCATAGATTCCTTAGACATAATTTCACAAAGTCAAAGCTTCATTTTAACATCATCCGCACTTAAAGAAGTGATATGGACGTCTTACAGATTCACGTATCAGGGTATACTTGCTCAATATAAACTAAAACTGTTTGCAACAATCTTGCATAAAACGCTATACTCAAAATGTTTCAAATGATTATTTGCTTTACAGTAAGGAGCAACAAAGTTACAATCGGCTTAGACGCATTTCCGTCATTTTTATCACCAAATTATTTATGTCTTGAAAGAATCAGTTTTTCTGTTTAGTTAAGTTGTACGTCGCACTAACACTGTGAAAGGGACTAAGCAGCTTTACTGATGAATGAAGATCTCACCTACCGTCAGTGCATTATTTCAGGCACAAAAAGGCATCTGAGTAGAACCACCGAAGTTCCATAGGCTTGCTCGACAGCTTTCTCGGATAAAAGAATCAAATCACTTGCGGTATTCAAAAGTGAAAACAACAACGGTGAGGTGAAAGAGGTTTGAAAAGAACGACCTTACCCATTTGGCCACGGACACCCAGGAAGAATCAAGGAAATTATTAAATAAATAATTATGTTATTGATGCTGAAACACCAAAGAAGGTATCTCCAAATTTAAAAGCCAAGAAAAAAAATCATAGCAACATTTTTTTCAATTGAAAAAGAAAGTTTAAAAAAATCATTCAAAATGCCTCAAAACTTCGTTTTCTTTGAAAGTTTTTTCAATGTCAACAGTCCAATGGAGATATAATTGCATGGTATCAATTTCTCTTACAGAAAATATATGTCTGCACAATTATTCTGATCGGATAATATCATAGTGTGTTCGTTTAGAGAATCAAACGAGGAATAAGACGAAGACTAACAAATGAGCAATAAGACATGCACACTGTTGATTCTATTAACGAGGTACATATTCGTTTCATTACTAAGATCGTGAGTTATCAATTGAAACTTAAAAAATGACTACAAACATGTAAAATAACCGATCCCTGAAACCACCATACACCAGGCATAGAGTGACTATCTAGTAAAACAAATGGAAAAAAAACTATCAGCTAGTAAATATTGTACATTATCAATATGAAAGGCATGCAAAATTCTAGCTTTCAGAAATGAGATGGAACAGTGATGGTGATGTTGCACTTATATGCATGTTAATTAAAATATAATGGGTTATTACTAATTGGTTATTCCTTTTTTGACATGAACTATGAGGTAGTAAAATAAAAAGAATAAAAATATTTAGTAATATTCTATCTATGCAGTTTTATGAAATACTAGTTATCTCCAAATAAAATCAAAGAAACTTTTATTTAAAATATTAATTTGAATTAATTGTAAGTATATAACATTAATTAGGGAGTCTAGATTTGAAAAAGAAAATGGCGGAACCCTCAAATCAACAATAAATGTCACTGTTACCAAAGTGCTTGATAAAAGAAAACAAAGATACCAGTGCATTTTGCGCAATTTGAGAGACTTACCTCCTTTAACTTTGGTTCTTTTTTGTGTTTTTGGCCTTGGTGTTACAGGTAAAGGCGTTAGCCTACCATTTTGTACTAATTTAAAGGCAACATAGAATTTCAGCATCAATATTCATAAGGTTACCAAATATGTAAATGTATTATCATTCACTTATAAAAGACACTGTATTTTCTATTCAGCATAATATAGTAAAATGCATATTGTAAATATTTCTTATAAGTAAAGCAAAGTAAAATATAGTAAGTGCTATAGCAATTTTATTGGTTTTTATAAAATAATTTACATATTTTATTTACATAACTCATGCTATATTTCGGACACACTTATAAATGAGATATAGAAACAAGTCATGTTTATATAATAGCTACATGAAAGAACGAACCTGATTTTTTGTTGAATACATCATTAGGAAAGTAAGGTCTATACGCCTGAAGAAGCTTTTTTCTCATGTCTTCATCTTTACGACGATGCCATGTCCTGTTTCTCTCTTTACGCTCCAGCTCTATCTGCTGTTGTTGATCTGCTAACTGATCTTCACTTTTATATAGAAAACAGTTACAGGTTGTATATAAATATATCAACACAAGCAATATAAGATTGTTATAAAAACTTCAAAGGATACTTTTTATACCGGTAATATAAACACTTTATATACACAAAACCTCATATACTGATATTACAATAATAATAGTTGTCATAATTATAAACTGGTATGATTATCTTAAAAAATGTGTGATAACATGAAAAGTTTTTGTTTAATAGATTTAAATGAAATCATCTTTCAAGGTTATGATCATTGATGTAAAAAAAGTTAAGTTTCATTTACATTTACAGGAACCATTGTAAAATAGTAGTTTATTTCGTGTCATAACACAAGATAAGACACATATCTAAGTGACAATATTTCTACTGCATTTAAATTTGAACTGATCTATCAGACAGAAAAAAATTAGATGACTCACAGTTGCTGTCTTTGAAGCAATTCTCTTTCATGGGGATCTGTTGTGTTCAAAATTCTCTCTTCTCGGGACTTTCTTATTTCATCTCGTAATTTAGTATTGCGTGATTTAGCACTAGCTAAGCTACTTGATGCCCCAGTTTTAACATTGTCAAACATTTCCGCTGTACGAGTAGCTAAACTGTCGATCTCCTTATCCATGTCCATATTCTTCTTTCTCTGGAACTCCTGATAGGTAAATACCAGCCAATTACGTATCAATTAATTGTCAATTAACGTTCAATAAACAATGGATATAAAATGAAGAAAACCAAAACAATTCTATGAAAAAGTGTTGTTTGTTATCTGGCATAGATTTAAGTAAAGTTTTGTTTTGAAATATTCATGTTAATATTATACAACAAAAAAATCTGAAAATAGACAAGAATTGATGAGGAACTAAAATATTTTTAAAGTCTCTCTTTGAGTTGATTTTTTTTTTCGTAACGTCCCAAACTGTGCATTTGAACAAAGTACTAAATAAGAAAATATTTAACAATGTACCGACTTCACAATGCTAAACTGTTTTTAAGATAAGAGATCACTTTGTTATGGAGAATTTACTATTTTTATTTACATACACATCTACACCATACAAAATCAGAATGCACAAAAAAGAAACACTTGGTGTAACAATGTTTTATAATTTCAAACATAGTCATTTGACTATACATTGAAAATTCATATGATATACTGCGAAAAATGCTCCATTGTTTATCTTTTCTTTTTTTAGAAGTGTAAATTGTATTATTATGTAAGAGCATCATGTCATGTTTAGGCTTTACTGGTTTTTAAGTTACCTGATACTAATAAACATCCATTAAAGAAAAAAATACATTTCATTTACAACAATACATTACTAGATCTAATTGCCAAACCTTTCTTAATAAATTTATATAATAAAATATAATATCTGGAAACAAACTTATCAAAATCAGTGTTCATTACAAGTGTTTTTCTATACCAAAACTCTTACTATGCTTTGTATCAAATTAATAAGATAATTAAATCAATTCTCGAAGCTTTTGTAAAACAAACGACAATGGAAAAATGCTGCACAAATTAAATTGACCTTCACGTGTCTTTGCAATCTTAATTTATACTATATTTACAATACACATTTTACTATCAGTTCCATCTCAGTAAAAAGGTGGCAAATTATGAAAGCTACACACCATTTTCCTCCATGTCGTCTGATTCTTTTTTTCCGTTAAATGCCGTAAAAATGATAATTCCGCCATTTTATAAATCCTTTTCCTTTACAATATATTCCACATGTAATAAGTTTTAATTGTTATCAGTAGGATCACTGATTTGTGGCTTTTGTTCTTGTATGCATTGTGTGGGTATTATACAAACCTTGTGTATTACAGTGATTGACAAAGATATAATTAAAATCCAATTTAGCATAATCATTAAAGAACTATTGACGATTTACAAACTGTATAGTGGAGTAGATTTTAAATGGGTACAAAGTTAAAGCAGTAATTTAACAGTTCAACATTTCTTTATGCTAAAATGTTTTTAAGTTAACGACGAGTGCATACAATTGTTTCTTTTTTTCCAATTTACAATGCTATCAAATACAACTAATTTTATAATCAAGATATAACTGTAAATAAATCTATTTTTATCTTTTCACCGATATAGAATATTATAGCCAGGAAAACTAGGCAAAAGACAAGAGTTAATGCAAAGTTTTCGTGGTCCTTCAATAATATAACTTACAATCATAATCATGTACTTTATCATTTTTGTTTCGTTTCATTTTTGTTTATTGTTTTCTTTATTATTTTGTTCTGTTTCAAAAGTTTTAAATGGATAATTAGTTAAAGATAAAGCCTTTATTAATTCATACCTTTATATTATTTCAATTAGTGTTTTGAGCTCACAAAGTGAAACACCTTCAAGCTTCAGACATTTTTATACAGTATTGACCCTTTATAGTTTTTATTGTGTCTGATATTTGGCCATATATTTAACCTTTACCTAAATCATTAGCTATCAAACTTCATCTGTGTCGTGATTTATCAGTAAAAAAATCTAAATCCATTGTTTTTTACAACTAATAGAGCTATTTAAAATATGACTTTTTTTTTGCATTTCAGCCAATCAAAAAGGATTTTAGTTTTATTTCAGTAGTCTATATGTCAAAGTACCTCTTTTTTCTTAAAAATTCTATATTGCTAATTTGTAAAATGGGAAAGTCTTGTCCTTTGGTAATTTTAGGAATTTGTGATAAGAATACTAAAGTCTAGCAACCAATAGTATAGAAATAATTTTGAAATATTTTTCAATGTTTTACTGCTTGTTTGATTTCAAACATTGTAATTTTTTTGTGGGAAAAACACGAAACATTTGCACAAGGAGACTTGTTCCATAATTTGCTCTATTTTTTTTGCTTAATCTGAATCTCAATATTTCATTTGTTAATCTTCAGACTGTATATTATGGTGTGTACTTCGTATACTAGTTTACAATGAAACATATATCAAACCTCTTCTTTGGTCATTTTTTCACACCGATTTTCAGAGTCCTTTTTGCGGTTGTTAGCCTCAGTCTCTAACATCTTATGGTGCTCCTGTGTACAGACAATGTAAACACACACACAGTAAAACACATGCATATATCATGCAGAAAAAATATGTGTTAACAAACTTCTATCCCCATGCTTGCAATGACCTTATATACTAACCAGTCAAAAGACAAAACTAGCGTAAAAATTATTCTAAAATATAAAGTATTCTCACAAGTTCATACTGCATGACTTGCTGCATGTTTATGGATTTGTCTATTAAATTTCATGTTAATGTTATTGTCATAAATGACAAACATCTTTTCTTCCCCGAGACTTGAGGAGAAAAAAAACTAGGTTTTCACAATCAAAATTAGTTTGTTGCTCGAAGGTATTATATAATGTGGGAATATAAAGCCCATATTGTCCTTAAAGACATTGCAAGCATGTTTACCCTGTACATATGTAAGTCAGACATAGAGTAAATCTTGAACAAGATAAAGTTAAATTTTGTTTAGAAGACATAAATACATTGATGAAAATTTATTCAGACAATACATGCAGAGTGTTCATCAGAATTTCAAAAAGAAAGAATGTGCCCAGTCAGAAGAAAAAGGAAATTGATTGAACAAAGAAAGTATAGAAAACCAAATTTCAAAATCTTACAAAGAGAAATCTGCCCAGACTATCCAAAGCATTTTATGAATACAAATACAATGTAGTATGTTTTGAAGTAACGATTTCCTTAAATTTGACATAAAAAATGCATATATAATTTAAATAAAAACAACCATGAAACCTAATAACCATAATTAATTGACAATCTTATGACACCAAATTTATTCTTTATGCATTCTGTAGTCTCAAATAGCACAAGGTCTTTCAGTCAATAATTAAAATTGCAATCGAATGCAATCAAGATCAAAATACAAAACAATATTCTTTGAGTTTTGACAAGGCATTCAGATATCTAAAGAACATTTTCAGTCTGCTTTTTCTTTCAATTTAACTAAATATATAGCTTATCTGATCTAAAAATCATTATCTTATAAGAAATGGCTTGATCTGTGCCCGTAGTATTATAGAAATTCACTATTTAAAAATATGAGAATGAAAATATTATTTCTTAATTTCGGTTATACTTTGAAAAGTCTGGTTTACATATAATAAAGTAAGAGATATAAATCAAAGTGTGTAATTCCAAAACCCAGTGTTTGATATTGACATAGCATGGTATATAATATAATGTACTGAACATTGCAATCATTGGTAATCCAATATTACTGCACTTGTTCCAAGTTTTCAAGTACACTAGTGTAAAGTAAAACAATAATTTACTGGTTGCTACAGATTGAATGCATATGGACAGATAGCAACTCAAATATACTACAAGATAATTGAATAAGCTTTGTTCAATTGGATCAAAGATTATGTTTTGATAAAAATTTACTATCTGGGAATCTGCAAGTGTAAAAGATTTTATATAATCTTGCTGAATTCTTTCCTGAATTCAACAGAATTTTGAACTTTTTAAAATATTCATGTTTTTAGGCACAAATTATTCATGTATTATTTGTACAACCTATAGATAGATCTTAAAGATGGACTTTAAGAGTAATGCATTTCTCTGGAGACCAACGAAAGGACTTGTTTGCCAGTTTATAGCTTAAATATTGGCTGTTATTAATTAATCTTAAAAGTCATTTTTTATTGAAATCACCTTATATGACAAGCCCACTTTACAAATTCAGTGAAAATCCATTAGGTTAAGATCATAGTTAAAAGTGACATTATGCCCATCTATGTGTAAATGGTAAGTGAAATTAGGTAAATATCAAAATAACTTAACATTTTGCCATATTTGTGTTCAATTTTATATCACACTGTGAAAAAAAATCCATATGAACAACAGAAATGTCTATATATATATATAATGTGCCATACAGAACGTATCTGTACCATCCAATTGTTAAAAAGAGTGGGACAGTCTTTTTATAATTAGGTCGTTTTTAAATTGTATCATTAACATATTTCTAGTCAATTATTGGTCAATTACCATTACAATAGCCAATCATTTAAAATATATTTCTTATTCAACTCAATTTAACATGCAAAACAATGAGCATAATGTCACTTTAATAATTTAGGAACCATTTGACACATGTAGAAATATGATTAATACAAACAAATGTTCATGTCATAAGTGAAAAGTGGTTCAGGACTGCCAGTTATAAAAATTTCTGCCTTCCCAGCAACTTCTTATGATTCCATAATGTTTTACTTTCAGACAACTTTCATGAAATTAGTTTAAAGATGGAAGTAACTGAACAAAAAAAAAGACCTAAAATTTTGTAAAAAATGGATTTGGTAAATTTATAAAGTATGTTAATTAAGATCAAATGGAAATGGACAATAAAGACATTAAGTCTTTTACTGGCATAAATGTTGAAGATTTTATACCAAGTACCAAACAAGTAAATAAATACTTGCAATTTTTACATATTGAAAAAAATATTTTAAACAACATCAATAAGAATAACTTTCACAACAAATGCAGTAAGTTTGGATTGTTTAACCAATCAGAACGCAGTGATGTATTCATTTAATACCTTTCTGCTCATAAGCCTTGGCAACATCCCAGAATGTGATGAACCCTCTTAATAAATTAGAAAAATAAAATTCAAAATTAATTCTACCTACTGAACAGTTTTTATTAAAAACATAGAAAATTTAATACAAAATTTTGTATAAATTTTCTGAACAAACATTATCATTAGTTTTTGAAGACAACCTTTCCTTTTCTTAAATCAGTGCTATAAAAGTTCAAATGTAGTGATATAAAACAAAGTGTTTTAGTGACTCTGCTATGAATAGTCATTACACATAATTAAATCAGAAATAAAAAACACTTCCAACATATACTTATCTGTTTTTGCATTATAAACGGCCAGCTAAAATACTTAAATATTTTATTGTGAATAAAATATAAATGAATATAAAGGAAAAGTAACTAACTAACTAATGGATTCAACTTCATAAATAGGCAATACATTTCTGAATTTTAACTCCAAACTCTTATTTCAATCAGCGAGATTGACATTATTTGAAAAGAAATTAAAACTTCTATTTGCAAATAACATCAATCTAAACTTTGTTTCCTGATTTCAAAAGAAACACACTTTTTTTTTAAAAGAGAAGGTTGTCTACAAAGAGTTATTGTTACTGACATCAGACAGAGTTGTGTACCTTTGCCATATCCTGTACTTCACGAGGTGTAGCTGTACCATCCTCATTATACAGGTGTGATACAAATCGTAATTGCTCTGAAAACATTGTCATCAATTACATACTTATACCATCTTAACTCATATATTATATTTCTTACTCATTACTTTAATATATTTCTTATTTAATTATAACTTTAAACATGTTTCTTTTTCTCAGTCTATTACAGTATTCTAACTAATTTTAGGGGAAAGAAGGAAACCTGAATAAAAATACAAAAACTAGTTATATTTGCTTTTAATGTTTCTATTTTCAAATGTCTACAATATTAATAATTAAATAAAAAAATAAATGCATGAACAGGTCAAATAACTTTTAATATATTATTTGCCTTAGGAATGAATGGTGTTTAATATATTAAAAGACACACTGGAAATTGCTAAAATATATATCTGTGGATGTTGAAAAAGTCAAAGGAACATGTTCTTCTGTGGGGTGCTTCATTAGAAAAAAAAGATACAACATTATTTAAGTGCAAATCAAAGTCATTGGAGGTCTCTTGCATAAACTTCCAATCAACAATTTCTCGGGTATTGAAGATAAGACAGTTTATGCTTCATTTGACAATTAAGTGAACACAATGTCTGAAAACACTGACACATTTACACAAAAAAGAAGAAATGTTTGGAGTCACCTAAGTAACTCTTTTGACTTTGCTATTTGATAAAAATCAAACTCGGGTTTAGATTCTATTTTAGTCATCTGTAGTACAGAATTAACACAACAAGAACTTTAGAATTTCTAAAATGGATTTGTCCACCATCCATTTTTTGGCATTGCCCATTATCACAAAAATTTGAAGTTTTTTAGTCATCATTTTAGAGCTGTACATCTGTGCAGTGTAACCAGGCTCTAAACTGATGACTAAAAAACTTCAAATTTTTGTCCTGATATGTGATAATGGGCAATGCCAAAAATTGGAAGGTGGACAAATCCATTTTAGAAATTCAACATTTTAAGGGTTAGTAGTATAACATAAAGTGTATATGTGTCGTGTTTTCAAATTATCACAATTAAGATATAACAGTGTAATAACAACATATGAAATGAAGTTCACATCAAAGTAAAACTAACATGTTTCCTTTTGCCATATATTTCTTTTGTGCAAGAACAATGGGTAATCAATTATACTGATAAATGATTTATTAATCAATTAAATCAATCACCAAAATAAAATTGTCATTAATTGGACATTTAATTATGAAACTGATTAAAAAACAATGAAATAATATGAACTTCATTTACTTTTAATGTAAACCCATGACTCTTAATCTCTACCTTATAAGATAATACAAGACTTTCCCAAAGGCTCATAAAAGCGAAATATGTAATTCGCAACAAGAAAATACAAAGATAGAAAATAGCAAACATCCATGCTGACGAAAAATATACAGAAATACATGCATATTATGTTGCACTGTACTCATGCCAGTATATTATAAAAGAGTAACAAGAAAGAATTAAATATTCTAATATATGATCAAGGATAAAAATTTAAATTAGCAATAAAACTATTGCTGTTTTAGACCTTTTTTAGGGATTCCGTTTTACTATATTTCATAATCATGAGTTTTCTCTGTTTTTGGGTTTTTTTTTTTTTTTTTCATTTTTTTTTTTTTAAAGATTTATCTTGTCAACGGGTTCACATAAATAACAACAACAAACAATGTGAGAGAAAAGGAAGGCTAAAATAATAATTAGATCAATGCCTAGGTCATATATCAGTAAATGTTTCCTTTTAACTGGTGATGATTGTGGTCGATTTCTCATCTGCCGACAATGTTTGCATACTGTTGATAAATGTCACATGTATATAATGCATATATATAAGAATACATACATAGTTATTACATATTTTTTATGATATTCCTTGGATAGAAATAAATTAGTTTATTTCTTTTGAGCATTCTTTCATTGATTCTGAAAGGGTTCACATGACGATAAAATATCTAGCTAGCAGGAATTATAATAAAAATAGAATTTAACCACCTTGTGATTTCATATGTATTCTCTGAATATATGTACAAATAAAACACTCCATAATGGGCTAAAATAAGACTTGTATCAATATTTGACAAAAATGTTGATCACTGATAAAACCTAAAAATAATCTTCTTACAAATGGTAAATGAATGAGATAATATGATTCAAATTAAAACAAAGAACATCTTTCTGGTATAATTCTACCTATAATAAGGGATACAATAATTAGAAAAGATTTTACTATATACATACCATTGAGATAACCATCCCAGTTAGCATAGTTCCGAAGGTCAATGTCCTCTTCATCTCCCATCAAACCACGCCGATAATTATCCATCATTTTACTGAACATAACAATATCATGCATTGGTCCAGTATGCACTTGTGCACGTTTCAACTGATTCAAACTACGAGAATAGTTTCTTTTGTCTTGATATTTTCGAACACTTGCTCGTACATGATCAATATAAGGTTTTTTACTTTTATGCATGCCATGTCTAGATCTTGAACGGCTTGGATCTGTTTCATTACCACTATCATCATTATCATTAAACCCTACTCTACTCCTTGGTGTTTTTCTACCAGTTCTATTTCTTCTTTCAGGATGACTATCTGCATCATCGTCATTCTTACTTGGTTCGATTCTTTCAAGAGAAACATATTTTCCCGTCTCCTTTTCCTTCTCCTTCTTCTTTCCTTGAGACTGACCCATTGGTGAAGTACTCCCGTCTCTCAGTCTTGGACCTTGTTTCTGTGTACTAACATCCTTGGTAAGAGGTGATTCCTCTGATCTCAGCGAAACATTTGATGTCCTTATACCATCTTCCTTTTCCAATACAGAATCAGCACTGGGTTTCTTACTTATCCCCTTTTTCTGTTGTTTTTCTGTGTTTACAGCAGCAGAAGATTTGTCAATACCAACTGATTTATCAAGCTTAGGACTTTCCGATTTTTCAGGACTTTCTCTGCCTTCAGATCCTTTTGGACTTTCTTTTCCTTCTGATTTTGCAGGACTTCCTTTTCCCTCAGATTTTGTAGGACTTCCTTTTCCGTCAGATTTTGCTGGACTTTCTTTACCCTTGGCTGGTGAAGGAGTCTTTGAAGGTGAAACTTTCTTTGCCTTTTCTTCTTCTTCACCTTTTTTCTCCTTTTCTTTTTCGTTTGCTGATACAGCTGCTACTGCTTTAACAGGTGATTTAGGACGAGTTTTTGATTCTTGGTCGCTTTTATCTTTGGCTGGTGAAGTTTTACCAGCCTCTTTAGTTGGAGACTTCTTTCCCTTCTTTTCTGTTTCCTCTTTCACAGGTTCTACATTAGGTTTACGTGTTCGTGCAGATTTTGATTCTCGTTTTTCAGTATTTGAAAGATCAGCATAGGAAAGAGCTCCTTTTTGTTTCAAATAATCTGCAGCTTCCTTATATCCTTTTATAACTGCAAGGTCATAAGGTGTGAACTCTTTGCCCTGAAGGTAAAAATAAACATTTGCATAAACAGGAAGTTGGTATAAGTCTGCTGAATAATGACTGAAATAAAGTTTAAGTATAAACCAACTTGAGTATAAAATACATGGTTATGGCGAGGAAATAATGTTTATTCCTTTCATGTATGGCACACTGTGATAATTAGTTAACAGTCATTTTTGTCACAAATTTACCAAATTTTCTGTAAATAAAGTGTGGCACTCAATTTTCTCTTGGATAAAATATATCAATATATATACATTATGTCACAAATTATCATTGCTCACTGTGATATTTTTCTGCAGGTTTGACAATTTCATTATCAAGAAATAGATTTCTAATTGATTTTAATCTTATTTATTATCTCCCTTTAAATATGAATTGTGTGCTTATATAAATATAGCACTTTACCCTTACATAATTGACTTTGGGTAATAGACTTCACAAGTTTTCAATTAAGAACAGTCATCTTGTTATTTAGTGGACTTCCACTTCTGCTAACATTTTAACTAATTCAAACTATCTAACTTAAAATGGTAGTACTACTTTTATTGAAACAACAAAACAAATATTTTTTTCAGTAACTTGATAATTTGACTGACCGACTTTGGGCTATTTCTATTCAAAAACAGACAAAAAGATAACCTTGAATTAAACAAGTTGGAGTTAATGATCAACAAATAATGCTGATATTCATCTATACAATTACCGTAGTTGTGTAGAGGAAAATTAATATAGTGCATACATTTTAATGATTTAACAATAATATTTAATTTCAACTTTACTGTAGCTAAGGTCATTCAAGTGTCACCAAAATATAGTTACAAAATTTATTTCCTATGTCAATATGTAATTTGTTTTGACAATGCATTGTAAAGTAACTTATAACAGATCCGTCAGACAATATGTAACCCTTAAGTTGCTTTATTTGTATAAATGGGTTTATTCTTTCCTAAATTGGAAAAAATGCTTATTGTTTATGATTATGATAATGTGAAAGATATTAACATCAAAAGGTAATCAAATAGCCAAAGTGTAAAAACTGTTAGGTTGTATGAACTTGAACACTAAAATACTGGTGGGACAGGCATGTAATTATTGCTGCAACCATTCAACAAGCATTTCGAATTTGGAATACTCCATTATATGTCTAAGGGATTTCAATACCAAATTGCAAAAAATGAGCTGCACAGACACTATGATTTGGCCAGCTAAAACAGACTCACAGAATAATCATTTTTAAGCTTCTTAAAATTTCTCATAATAGGTCTTAAAGTTTCACTTAAATTCCTTGTTAATTGTAAATTATGTACTTATTTCTCTTAATTAAGTGTGAATTAAATACTAAATATCCCAAGAGTATGTGTGAAGCATACATGCTTTTCACTTAAGTAAGGGTGAATGATAGACATATATTTCTTGGTTAGTGTGAATGTTACACTTATTTTTCTTAGTATGTGTGAATGATATGATTTTTCCTTTAGTAAGTGTGAATGACAGACCTATGTCCATTAGTAAGTGTGAAAGTTACACTTATTTCCCTTAGTAAGTACAAATAATTACTCATTCAAATGTGTTTTAGAAATGACAGAACTAAATTCTTAATTATTCTGATTATATCAGAAAGTTATTATTTTAACCAAATACTAACATTATAAAAAAATGACAGCTGAATAATTAGTATTCATTTTGACCGTGAGTTCACTGATTGTAAAATAATATGTATAAATTTACCTTAATATAATGTCAACGTAAATATCCATGTAAACATTTCTATCAATATATCAATGTATATTTTTACAATTCATCAATAACACACATGTCTTACAATCTGTATTTTTAGAACAATACCATTTAAACTATGATACATTATGTACCGGGTATATCACACCGAAGACAACCATGTAATTGGTAGATATATTTCTTTCTATTCACCCTTAATCTGATTACAATTTCTTCTTACTGCGGCCAAATGGTTAAATCTTTGTAGTAAAGATTGTGTCAACAAATTGGAAATATTTTCCATTTTTCCCTTTTAAAATTATGGTTTAACAATAAGTAGCTAAAGCCTTAAATGGGTGATAAAGGTTTGTGGAAAGACTGTAGTAACTTGTCTTGTATATTCATAAATTATGACAGTGTTGCCTCGAGCCTCGCCACTTTCAATGGATTGCTATTAACAATAAATCTACAAATAAATATTATACTGTCACTAGCAGATATTTAAGAAAATAATGATCATTTCCAACGTTTAAACTTTTATCTCATTAAATTTGAAAAATGGACTTGTCATGCTTTAATTTGGGACGGTCTATTGTTGATTTAAAGGGATATTTGAATATAAAATTTTAAATCTGTGCAGCCAACATTATTGAGACTGGTAAGAATGCTTGGATCTACACGCTTGCTTGCCCCATAACATAAATGTTGCCAAACTATCATGTTCTTTTTATCTACCGGTAAATGCAGATTTTTTATATTGGCCTGTTTATCATAAATACAAAGGGGTATTCAATGGTATTTTTTGTCGTAAACAGGTTTATACGGTTGACCACAATTAGTCTAGCACTATAACCATTCCTCTCCTTTACAGAAATGATGAGATCTTATACTCTAACATCTTAATCTGTCATGTAACCAGTAAAAGACTAGACTTTACTGAAATGTGACTATATTACTTTTTTTATAATAATCTTTGACATGAATCAGTCCAGAGATTAAATTGGCAACATCTTATTTATGATATGGACTAGCATCAAATAATAAGAGATATAATCAACAAGAGCTGTCGGTAGGACAGCATGCTCGACTATTCTTAGTGCTTGATAGTAAAAAAAATGCCTGATACAGTTACCTCCTCCTGTTTACAGGTTGGGGTCATAATGGTGAACAAGTGTGCAAAGTTTCAAAGCCATATGTCAATGGACTTTGAAAATATTTGAACTATTACAAAAACTTTAACGTAAATTCTAAGTCGAAAAAGGGGCATAATTCTGTCAAAATGCTTGATAGAGTTACCTCCTCCTGTCTACAGGTTGGGGTCATGATGGTGAACAAGTGTGCAAAGTTTCAAAGCCATATGTCAATGGACTTTGAAAATATTTGAACTATTACAAAAACTTTAACGTAAATTCTAAGTCGAAAAAGGGGCATAATTCTGTCGAAATGGTTGATAGAGTTACCTCCTCCTGTCTACAGGTTGGGGTCATGATGGTGAACAAGTGTGCAAAGTTTCAAAGCCATATGTCAATGGACTTTGAAAATATTTGAACTATTACAAAAACTTTAACGTAAATTCTAAGTCGAAAAAGGGGCATAATTCTGTCAAAATGCTTATTAGAGTTACCTCCTGCTGTCTACAGGTTGGGGTCATGATGTTGAACAAGTGTGCAAAGTTTCAAAGCCATATGTCTATGGACTTTGAAAATATTTGAACTATTACAAAAACTTTAACGTAAATTCTAAGTCGAAAAAGGGGCATAATTCTGTCAAAATGCTTGATAGAGTTACCTCCTCCTGTCTACAGGTTGGGGTCATGATGGTGAACAAGTGTGCAAAGTTTCAAAGCCATATGTTAATGGACTTTGAAAATATTTGAACTATTACAAAAACTTTAACGTAAATTCTAAGTCGAAAAAGGGGCATAATTCTGTCAAAATGCTTGATAGAGTTACCTCCTCCTGTCTACAGGTTGGGGTCATGATGGTGAACAAGTGTGCAAAGTTTCAAAGCCATATGTTAATGGACTTTGAAAATATTTGAACTATTACAAAAACTTTAACGTAAATTCTAAGTCGAAAAAGGGGCATAATTCTGTCAAAATACTTGATAGAGTTACCTCCTCCTGTCTACAGGTTGGGGTCATGCTGGTGAACAAGTGTGCAAAGTTTCAAAGCCATATGTCAATGGACTTTGAAAATATTTGAACTATTACAAAAACTTTAACGTAAATTCTAAGTCGAAAAAGGGGCATAATTCTGTCAAAATGCTTGATAGAGTTACCTCCTCCTGTCTACAGGTTGGGGTCATGATGGTGAACAAGTGTGCAAAGTTTCAAAGCCATATGTCAATGGACTTTGAAAATATTTGAACTATTACAAAAACTTTAACATAAGTGGTTACGCCGACGCCGACGCTCGGGTGACTGCAATAGCTCTACTTATTCTTATCGAATAGTCAAGCTAAAAATGAGCATTAGTGTATATAGCTAATTAGATTCATTTATTTCTTTCTATACTATTAGCTACTATTCAACAAGTTACAAAACTATATGAACTGAAGGGTTTGACAAAAAAAAAATAATAAAGTGAATCAAGATATTATCAAAGTTGAGATATGATTGAAAAGTACTACGACAATTTTTTTTCTCATAAGCAATCATAATTTGCTTGTTTTAGTTGCGTAGAAAACAGTCAGCTTATTCGAACCTTAAAGAAGTCCTTTTCCTGGCACTAACCACTACTGGTGTCATATGAGAGAACATGGCTTTGACCTCAGAAAGCCTAAAACCCTCAATCCTTGGGTTGGTGACATGCACCTTAGCAACTAGGGTATTTCTCCTTTAAAGGAGATAAATAAACACAAATATTGAAAATAAAGTTTTTATAAAAACATTAAAATCTCACCTTCTCAACTTATAACTCAAGTACATTACCTCTGATAAGATTTTAATAATTGTTATAAGATATATCTACTTATTCCATGTTAATTTACCATCAAATGCCATATAACAAGATTTCTTAAATCAAACTTTTATCAAATCTACAGATTATTCTCTTGAAGAAATACATACTATACTTATTATAGAAAAGTAAACAGTTTGAATAATAATAGGAAATTATACTTTAACATGAGCAAACACAGCTATACATACACTTTCTTACAAATTATTGAAATATTTTATATAACCATTTAAATAGGTATTATACAGTTTGTTAGTAAAAAAATATTTTTAATTTTAACAGGCCTCAAAGACTTCATTATAACCATTTACCCTAATAATTTCTTTTCATAAAACGTTTTAGTAGTATTTCAAAAGTGATACTTTTGAATGGCAACAATTAAAATCTATTTCTGTAACTTTTCAAGATTAGTCTCCCTTTGCTCTTATAGTTGAAATGAATTGCTTTTTAGCAAGATGACTATAATGATCTGAGTTAGGCAATATTAACAATAGTAAGATCATTCATAATACATGTATAAATTCATATAGAGACTGGTGAGGTTAGTTATTATTTTGCAAACATAACAACATAAATAATTTTTTTAATAAATCATTTGAAGAACAGAATATTTGTTTCTCATACAGCAAAGTTTACAGTGCCAAATACATGCATGTGGAATAATGCATTCAATTTTATCTCGTCTGTTCCTGAAGTGGTCTTTTAATATATTTTCTCTGTTGCTCTGCTCAGTAAATACGTGTTTTAAATTAAGAAACAAAAATTCTTTACTTACTTGATGCTTCATGAGTGCATTTTTGTTACAGTCTGCATTAATGAGAAGCTTGCAAAGAGGAAAATTGTTGGTTGCCGCGGCGATGTGAAGGAGAGTTTTACCAACGTTATTTGTCACATTTACAACATTCTTATGCTGCATTAAATACTTGACAACATCTGAAATGTACAAAACAATATTTTAATCTTTACTCTACAATAACCAAAAGTGCGAGCCTTTGCCACCAGTATAGAGCCAGGCCAGCCTGCACATCCATGCAGTATGACCAGGCTCATTATACCAACTTTAAATTTTCATCTTGATATACCCAAAATCAATAATGGACATTTCTAAACATAGAAGCTGGTTATAAATGGTAAAAATTTCGAAAATATAGAATAATAAAACAACATTAAATGTGAATAGGTCAATACAGATGAAATTCATATGCAGCATCTTAACCTTTTACCCCATGAGCATATTATAAAAAATGGCCGTTTTCATTGAAAAGCCTCATGTTACAAGTTCAAATTGCTATAAAACTATGAAAAATGCTTCAATACTGATGAAACTTGGCACAAATATTGACTGAACCATAACTTCTGTAACAGCATGCTCAATCTTAAATGTCCTGTTAACATGGCAACAGGGGGACGTCTCAAATTTGCGAAAAAATCACTATTTTGCATTGTTCTTTTCCATCAAAACTGATTTCAAATTGCTGCAACTTCTCAATACATTGAGATAGAGTAAAAGGCTTTTCAGCGTTTGTTACGCATTACCTTAGGATTGACCTGAGGCCATTTTTAGTCTGTCACATGTCCAAAATTGTCTTTCATTTTGATTGGGGGCCGCGCGGAAAAAGTGATCACTTTTTTAACAACATTTCTCAAACGAAAAACAGTGTTTGAACCCAAATAGGGCATTTTTCACTGTTTGAGGCCTCAAAAAGGGGGGGACAAAAAGCCGTCAAAACACGTCTATATGAGGGAAAAGGTTAAACAGCATTTAAAATATACTATGTAGATGTTCAGACTAGCTTGCCTCTATCCTGGAATGCCATCCTTTTTAATCAATCCTATTAAAGAACTAGCAGGTTAAATTAAGATAAATTATTTTTTATCATATTCTATATTAAACTACAATTCAAATTATAGTCAATACAGTAAAAATATTTCAACCTAATTTTAGAAAAAATATTTATTTATTCAACCACAGGTATGCAAGTCATATTTATGAAAAGGGGGATAAAAACCAAAATGTGACACTACTTCAATATACCTAATTTGTCAACATTTCAAAACCATTATTGATTTTAGCAAAAGGTGACAACAAAATTTACTTTGATAGAAGAGATAAGTCAAAATTAAATCTACAATAAAATACGAAAACTTATCTTAGTGTTTGAAATATAAACCTTTCTATGGTAAAATAGATCAAATTTCTGACATAGGATAACCATATTTCTAACTTTATTGAAAAAAAGGTAAATTTGTTTATTCATCTAATAAATGATGCGTTAGAAATGAAAGGAAAGACAAATTTACACCATGGCTTAAATTTTTAGCATACAATTTAAATAATGATTTATATAAAATGCTAAATTGTTTGTCCCCCAAAAAAATTTCAAGATAATATTTCTATTTGGTGATTACAGGAACTCCCCTGAGGTCAAAAAATCTAAAAAACTTATTACAAAGATCAAAATGGGCACTCAAAAAGATATGCACAAAAAAAATCAGAATAACTCAGAATAAAATTGAAATTCATAGTTTTGTGCTATGTTATTTAACAGCATTTTAACGCTTTTCATTTTTGGGTCTATTTTCATAATCATAATATCATAATTATTTTGAAAAATTGCACACAACTTTTAAGGCCAGACCAGTATATCAAATGGTACGAGGTTAATCTGTCAGAAACTTGCAAAAATTCATTCAATTTTGTTACTAAACACAGCTAATATTCATTTGATGACAATGTTTTTACAAATAATTAAACAAATGTTCATCAGTCTGATCTTTGTAGTATAGGACAGAAATGGGAAAAATATGACAATTCATCAAAATATAATCAGTGTTGAACTTTTACAAAATAATCACATGTTACAAGATTTGGAATGACAATAACCAGTCAATTAAGGGCATACCAGTCTGCAAGTCTTTGCCAATTCATTTATACAATACTCTATATTATACTATTTTAATATTGATATCTTTTGAATCAGTTTAAGACAGTCCAGTATTAACCCTTATCCTGCTGGTGGTGACTAAATCTACTCATGCCTCTAGAACAGACCAAGTCCATGATCTGAGTCTGTCTAGTCAGTACATATTCTGAAATCTTCCCTAAAAAGATCAATGTTTTTTCCAGGATGAAAACAGACATTTTCATAAAGACATTTAGTATGGTTATGTGTTAAAATCAAGGTGTCCATCACAAATTACACAGATTTTGTATTTTTAAAGCCGGGAAAAAATTAAAGAAATAATAGAAAAGATACAAGAGAGCTAACCTATGTGTCCTTTTTGTGCAGCTTCATGTATTGGGTAGTCTCCCTTTTTATTTTGGTGCCATAAATCAACCTTCTCTTTCTCCAGTAACTTGAGAGTATCCAGGCAACCTTTAATAGCGGCACAGTGGGCGGGACTGAAAATAAAATTTAAAAGTTATTTATATGATTATCCAAGGGTGCCTGAAATTACTTTTAATCTTTTGGATAAGACATTGATGAAACAAAGACCAAAGGTGTTGCAAATTTGCAAATTTTGCAAATTTCAACAAGAACCTGTGATCTTAGTTTTGTCAATTAGTTCTCATCAACACAAAGATTGTTTTTCTGCTGCAGTTCCATGAATAAGTTTAACAGTGGTGATAATAAATATACATGTATGAAACTAGAAAAAAAATAAAAATGACAAAACCGATGACTATAATTGTATATGTTTAAGAATGAGAAAAGGATGTAAGAAGAATTATATAGAGATAATGAAATTGCATGCAAAGTTTTCAAAACAAACAAAATTGGCAATTTAACATTTTATGATTCTTTCATGACTTTTCATGACTGTATTTCAATTTCTATGGAAAACGTGTATATTCAGGTTTGTCCATTTATCTTTTCTATTTATCCATTTTATATCAGATGCAGATACTAATTTCATATTATTTCATAATCAGTTTGAATGTTTCTAAAGAATAATTTGCATTTCCAATGATATAATATACCTTATAATGAATAATACAAATTTACTGTATGTATTTAATCAAAATGAAAAAAAAAATATTCACAGTGTTTGTATATTCATGTTAAACTAAATACATATCATCTACTGGTTGGGGACCACCAAAAACGGACAACCACCAAACCCGGACAGCCCCGAAAATGCTTAATTTAGTTGTTTTTCTTTGTTCATTGGTTGTGGATCTATCAGTCACTTTTTTAAAAACAATAAATGCATTTTTCTTCCATAAAAAAGTAATTAAATTTATTTCAACGGTAATATTTTAATGTCTATTTCAATAATGTTGACATTGAAAATTTGGGCGTTAAGAGTGCAATACCTGAACTGATATACTAGCTATAATCATTTGCAGAGTAAACAATAGAATATCCAAAACTTTAGCATTTCCTGCTAAAATATTGTATATCATGTTAAAAATTAAAATACCCAAGCATTTAACTGAATAAAATCATATCATGTACATATCTGTCCGGACACATGGTACTGTAGTGTAGCCAATTTAGGTAATTTTGATATCCTCCTGCACGAGCCTCAGATATAAGTGTCAATATACTAGTAATCAGAAATAAACAAACTATTTTGTTAGTTAAGGGAAGAACCTTAAGCTGTACTGTGTCTAATTTTCAGGTCTCTAAATTTGAAATTATGAAGTATGTATGAAAAAATGTTAAAAGGGTGTCCGGTTGATGGTCCCCGACCAGTACTTTGTATTCAAAACAATTATTTGAAATATACAATGAAAATTACAGTAAAGCACTGCACTAATTTCTTTTTATTACAAATCATCAAAATTGTACATTTTTTTTCTCTTGATATATATAATATCTTGAAGACCCCTAATGGGTTGAACCAGTAGTTGTTTTTTCATGCAATTAGTATCATAGTTTTGTTAATGAATAATTGCAATATTAATTGAAAAAGGCATTGCTTCATTCATCTTTTTCCCATTTTTTAACTGTATTGTCTGGAACTTTAAATTTTGAATATAAAAATATGTAATATTGATATAAGATACAAATGTATAAAAAGAAATTTACCATTGCTATTATTCTATCCACACAGAATTTATTCCCTTCCTCATATATATTAAAACTTTTTTATCGAAAATTTACAGACAGCACAATCTAATAACTTTAGAATTTACAATGTGATAAACAGATAGGTTTTAACACAACTTAGTGAGAATTAATTGCTATTCCTTTCATTACAGTTACACCATTATTGTATACATCAAGGTCATGTTTGCTAATCATTATATCATAAAATCCTATAACTAACAAAAGCCTTACATGACTACCATGGAAGACAGCGAGTAAACTCTTTGGTATACCAAAGTCTCACTTTACTATGTAATATGGTTGCAGAGTCAAATCTTAAAGCAACACGTCACCAGGTCAGTGAAAAAACAAATTTTCAAATTTCCAAAAAGTCTAAATTAAATCTTTTAACCTACCATAATTTCTCATTAAGTGTTTAAAGTATGTGAATATTAATAATTGAGGTACGTTTTTGAATGTATTATGCATATTATTACATAATTTACTTTATCACATACCCGTGCCTATTTTGCTACTCCATATAAATGTTATTGCACGGCCGTGCATATATTTTGACATGTAACTTGCATTATAAAAACATACTGTAAAGACATGCGAAATATTAGTGTTACACTACAGGTGCATATCATTTGCACTTTAAGCAGTCTTTATTTTGGGAAGGTGATAAACAGAATATTATATTCGTGTAGGTTCAATACTGAATTTATTGGACTCATTGAATAAACTAATATTTTGCTCGCCAAAGGCTCGCATTATATGATTTTATTCAACTCGTTTAATAACTTTAGTATTGAACCTCAGCATTCATTTAATATCCTCTATATATTTATTACCAAAATTCTACCCTATTCTAAATGAGTTCAAAAAAATCTCTGTATATTCTGACAAGTTATAGCTGATTTCAGTGCATTAGGCTTCATTAGACATTGATAACATAATTTACATATCAGATCAATTTTTCAAATTTTCATAACAAAATATCACAAATCTAGAGGTGTGCTGCTTTAATGTATATTCTTAAGATACCAAACTTGACATTGGAATTTCAGTTTTCTGACATCTTAGAAGAACATCATCTATCAATATGTAAAGTTTAGATTTAATCAATTTTTATCTGTAAGTGATATGAGCCGCGTCACGACAAAACCAACATAATGGGTTTGCGACCAGCATGGATCCAGACCAGCCTGCGCATCCACACAGTCTGATCAGGATCCATGCTGTTCGCTTACAAACCCTATTACAAGTAGAGTTACTGATAGCAAAGAGCATAGATCCTGATCAGACTGCGCAGGCTGGTCTGCATCCATGCTGGTCGCAAACCCATTATGTTGGTTTTGTTGTGACGCGGCTCAATTATTAACTTTTATTAAATCATCAATAAGACTGGGGTTAACATTTATTGGTTATTAAAATAAAACTCTACAAAGTGAAAGGTATCATCAAGTTTTAAAATATTGATAGACAAAGTAGCCCTTGTAACAAATCTAAGCCTTCAAAAATGCGTGTACCTGAATTTGGTGGGATTTTTTGTGAACATTTAATTTCTTATTTTTTGGGTTTTTTTTTTTTTCAATTTGATGTTTAAATGTTAGCTTTCTGCTTTTGAGATTGCTTTTGAAGTGTTAACTCTCAAAAGTATCTTGATAGTTTTTTATAATGTTCTTATATGGCTAAAAGGCAATCCACGGTAAGGTTTATTTGACATGACAAGACAGGAAATAATTTTTTGAGATTAATGTTCTATTTGATAATAATGTGTGTGAAAAATTTCAGATCATTAATCACTCTGTTTTTCTAGAATAATTATTTTAATTTTGAAAAATGACCTAAAATTGAAAAGCATTGCAATGCGAATCACTCTTATTGGGCTAAGTACAGAACAAAAATATGATTTTCAGTCTATTTCGGAGTATATTGCTTAATTATCTTTAGCATTTCTTTAAAAAAAAAATTTGTACTCCAGATGATCTATGTGAGAAATTAGATTTTTTTCTTACTAAATTTTATGCATTTGGACCTCAGTTGAGTGCCTTTAACATTGTAAAATGTCCTTATTACTTTTTGTTTACAGTCCATTCAATGTCTGACTTATTATAATCATTTTTACAAACAAGTGTTTCTTGTGAAACCATAAATTTATATATAAACTATTTGTACAAGTTATTTAACATTTATCTATTCTATGGAATCAAAGTCACCTCATCACTATTTTTGTGTATGTATGTTTTTTAGTTGCCAATGATAACCTAGGGTAGGCAACTTTTTCAGAACAATATAAGATGAATAAATACGAGGCCAGGCAATTCTCAATTCTAGATGCATCAGTTGGCTACATAAGAAGCATATTTCTTATAATCTTACATGATAAACTTTAGTTGAAAAGCAGATAATAATCCTAGTTTTTGTAGTTTAAGGGACTCCAATGAGGTTTTTTTGATGTGATGGGAATGGAAACATTTATCCGAGATTTTAATTCCAATTGATGTAAACCAATAACTTGTGTGCAAATTTTTAGCTCATTCTTTCACCCCGTTTTTTTTTTTTTGGTTGCTCAAAATGGCACTGAAATGAAAGGCATTGCAACATTTTTTTCACTCAATTGTGTAGGATGTGCACAAAGTAATGATATTCAATAGAATTCTGTGTATATTTCTTTTTTCTACTTTTCTCTAAGAATTATGTAAGACTTTCAAATTTTATGTTTGTAGGCTTTTTGACCTCAGTGGAACTCCTTTATTTATAAATACAATGTATTACCCATTTTAAATGAATTTAAAAAAACTGTTAAAATCATTGCTATTGGTAAACTTAACTGATTACAATTACACATCAATGCTTATTATTTGGGTAGAAAAAAAGATCAGAATTTTACTAAAAAAACTGAGAAAATAAATCCTTTCAGATATAACAACTTAAACTGTAAATGCAATAGATAACTGTCACTTAATACCTAAATGATTATCCAACTGAAAATCAATGAATGGCCTTAATCAAAACATGTAATGAGCAAAAAAAATGAAGCACAAGACACAAAATTGTGTATTTAGAGATATCAAACTGTTACATGTTGACTTCAAGATTAATTCAATCATACAATAAATAGTGGAATGGATTTCTAACTTTTAATATTGATATCACTTTTCCAAAAGACAATAGTCAGCATGTGGTAATCAATGTTTAAGGTTACAATCTCAGTTCATCTAAAAATTGTTAGTTCTAAAAAAACATAACAAAACATTTGAGACAGTCTTGGGAAAAGTATGAAATTAAAAAAAAAAAACTTTAAAAAGCCAACTGCTTTAAATTTTTAAAAAGGGATTTGCCTTTTTTTGAATCAGGAAAAAGTTCCCTTGTTATTTTTTAAAGGGGTTTTTAAAAAAAATTTAGAAGTAAAAAGTACAGAAATTTTTGTTTAGTGAAAATAGATGCAGGGGGGGCCTGACTTTTTGACTGTGGCCCTTTTGCAATATGTTTTTGGAAACCCCTTAATAGACTAAAAAAAATTTTTTAAAAACATTTGCCTCAATTAGTCAAAACAATCGTTTTTATATATTACATTTCCTATACAATTTTTTGGGTACATAAATTTTTTTTGACAAATTTTTTCCTTTCTTTCTGCCCCGTTATCCAATGATTCACGTTACTTTTTTTTTTAATTAAAGCTTGTGTACATCCCTTTTTTACCCCCGGGGGATTGCATTAAAAAATTTGGTATTTTCATTATTTTTTTCTTTTTTCGGGCCCAATCAACATATCCTTAAATAAATCACTTTTAACAGAAATTTTTTTTGCAACATCATTTTTTGAAAGGGAAAAAAAACAATTATTAACAAAAAAATGAGGTAAAACTTACGGGCCATTTATTGCAAGGACTCTTTTTTAATTGGGTTGAAATTTGGCAGTGGTGAAATTACAACGCAGTTTTTTAAGATCTCTTTAGGGCAAGCTTTTTCCTTGACAAAAACTTTACACTCACTGCTTACGTTTTGCAAAAAAGGGGTTTTAAAAGTATTCATAACTAATAGCTCCTACACAGTAAAAACAAAAGTCAATCCCTGTCCCAAGTTACCTAAATGTTTTCTCTCTAATAAGAAAAAAGCTTAGCTTTGGTTCTTTTAGGAGAACAAAAAGAAGGGATCATCAAGATGAAAAAAAAATCTTTTAAAATTTGGCAAACTTTTCCTTTCCCAAAATTTTTGATGACAAAGACGTAACTTTTCATCAAAATTTGTTTTAAATGAGAAACAACCATTTTTATTTAAAATCTTTGTAAAATTTAAATGAAACCCAAACCATAGTTTTAAATCACAAATAGAAAACATTTCAAAAAATTTTACATCCACATAAGGTTGTTACTTTTCAAGAGAAAAAAAAAATTATAATTCCCTTTGAAAAGTCCTTTTGGTAGTTTAAGGGTTTCAGTTCAATTAAAATTTTTTTCCAAGGAAGGGCCCCCCACACTCCACTTTTTGTCAATTTATATCTGGGTCAAATATTTTTTGGACTTAAAAAGTGCCACAATTTTGGAAAATTTTAAAAATAAAAAAAAAAACCAAAACCCCTGCATTAGTACACTTGCTGACCAACATTCTTGTAAACCTTCAGGCCTACAGGTCAAATACTTTTTGAGCTATGCATGAGCAAGTTGAAAATTGCAAATTTTTACTAAAGGCAATAACTCTGACAAAACAGAATAAATCCACAAGCAAAACCCCAGGTGCACAACTTCACATGCTGATCAAAATTCCTGTAAAATTTTATGACTTTAGGTCAAACACTTTTTGAGTTACATGCGACACAAATTGAAAATTGCAAATTTTAACTAAGTCAAGGGCAATAACTTTAAAATTTCTAAATATATTCACATGAAAATAACCAGGTGCACAACTTCACATGCTGATAAACATTCCTGTAAAGTTTCATGACCCTAGGCTAAATAATTTTTGAGCTACATGCGACACAAGTTAAAAAAATTGCAAATTTTTTGCAAGTCAAGGACAATAACTCTGCAAATACTAAATAAATCCACAAGAAAATACCCAGATGCACAACTTCACATACTGAGCAACATTCCTGTAAGATTTCATGACTCTAGGTCAAATACTTTTTGAGTTACATGCGACACAAGTTGAAAATTGCAAATTTTTACTAAGTCAAGGGCAATAACTCTAAAAATACTAAACAAATCCACACGAAAATACCTAGGTGCACAACTTCACATACTAAGCAACATTCCTGTAAGGATTCATGACTCTAGGTCAAATACTTTTTGAGTAACGTGTGACACAATGGAGAAGGGACGGACGGACAGATGAATGGACAAGGGTAAATCTAAATGCCCCCGCCCCCCTAAAGTGGGGGCACAAAAAAGTGAAACTGAACACCAAATAAAAAGAACCTGCTCGGACTACACAGCCTCGCTGATCTGGCTTGACTCTTTTGAAGACATACCCACATTTTTCTCAACTCTAGCATTCATTATGTAATACTTAATGTATCATCAATCTTAATTAATCTAATTAAATTTTGTTATAGATATTTTCTATGTTATTGTGTTTGGTTTTACCTGTCAGATTATCTTTGTCAATGGAGTTTATGTCAGCCCCAGCTTTCAATAACATTCTACAGGAGTCTGCATTACCTGAAATAACAATTGTACATATTCAATGAATATTTTATCAAAGTTGTTTCATTGTGCATATTAAAATGATAATGATTATATTCTCCTATGGTAACATTACACCCCATCAGGTAATTTACACTTAACACTGCCAGCAACAGCTTCTACCAATGTAAATAGTGCAGAGGCATATCTTTGTCTGCAATGCTATCTATTCAGTCTGTTCATGGTTTGAAATATTTCCTAAAAATGATAAATGGTTTTGTCGAGATTGAGAGATGGACAAGTCCATTTAAGATATTTAGCTGAACTCCTCCTCTTAAAACTTCCCCGTCAGGGAAATAAACAAAACATCTGGGTTTGCCAATTTTAATTTTGGACTGTAAAAGGGGGACCTAAGTTTATTTCCCGCACTTTATTGTGATTTATATACTCTAACATCCCCAAAAAGATACATTTTTTGGAAATACTGGGGAATCTCTGACAGCCCCCAGGTAAAATGTGGTGGCTTTTTGGTCTCTGATAAATTCAATTTGGGTTACACTATCCCGAGGAAACTCAACAAAAACTGTCGGAGGACGTAACCTCAACTATTCAAAAAATTTCACAATGGGGTTTTTTATATAAAAAGTTACAAATAATAAAAAATTTCCAAAAATACAAAGGTTGTATAGATGTTTTTTTCGAGTTAATCACTGCTTTATTATTATGAATTCATAAAATTGTTCCAAAAAAAGGCACTAACCCTTCAGCAGTTATGGAGATACCAGCTTACAAGCAAAAACTTAACCTAGAATTTGACTAGAAGTTGAACAAGGTGCATAATAATGAAAGAAAAAATCAGAGTTATGGGACTTATGCCAATCATGTTAGATAATCACAGAGAACAAGTGTGTGAAGTTTCAATCCATTCCCTTCAGTAGTTATGGAGATACCAGCTTGCACGCAAAAACTTAACCAAGAATTTCTTAGTCGAAAAAGGGGCATAATTATGCCAAAAAAGCAAATCAGAGTTATGACACTTGTGCCAATCATGTTAGATAATCATCACAGAGAACAAGACTAGTGTGTGAAGTTTCAATCCATTTCCCTTCAGTAGTTATGGGATACCAGCTTACACGCAAAAAACTTAACCGCAGGGACGCCAACGCCGATAAATGGGTGACTGCATTAGCTCGATTATTTCTGCAAATAGTCGAGCTAAAAACCAATCACCAACTTTAAAACAAATTTGAAGGAAAGTAAAACCCATTCCCTACCCTCCTACCTTATCAAACAAAAGAACATTATTTCCGACAACAGACACCTAATATTCAGCAACCTATATTAATACAAGCAATAAAGTACTTTCAGTAGCCTACCTCACTCAGAGTTGTCTCTTTGAAATTTTCAGGAGAGTTCAAAGAAGTTTAGGGGCAAATGTTTTCAAACCATTTAATGCCCTGACCAATTATCTGACCTAAATGAACATTCTACATTGTTAGTTTTAACCCTTTAAAAATTAGAACACAGAACCTTAGTGAACTAAAACTTTCTGTAAAAAGTTTGGTTAAAATTTATCATAAAAAAATTATGTTTTTTTATAAAAAAAAAAGAAATCCCTTTGATACTTAAAAAAAATATAGAGGTAAATATTGATTTTATAAAGTTGGTTTTCAAGAAAGATAAATCCTACCTGAACAAGCTGCCCAAAGCAAGGGTTGTCTCCCTGCATCATCTTCTACATCTAGCTGTACTTTGGCCTCAAGGAATTTTTTTAAGACTTTCTCAGAAATTCTAGACTCTGTATTACCCGAGTTAGCACCATTCATCTGAGCTGCGTAGTGAATAGGGTAGGCAACATGACTATCAGCCGTAGATAAGTTTGCCTTATTCTGTATTAATACATCTAATACCTTCAGGTGTCCACATACTGAAACCAAAATTGTATTCTGTTCACTATAAAAACTTACTTTTGTAGCATTCAAGTACACAAACCCTGTCAGTGAAAAGCTAGCTCACCACCAAGGGTGGTTTATGTCCTTATATACGGGAAACATTCCTTTATGTTAATCCAACAACTTAAGCTTTTGCATATTATTATGCTCATTATCAGTATTATGATGTTCTTTATAAAAACTTACTTTATTTTAGTGTATACGTGTACCTTGATTCTATACTTTCATTTCAGATTTTAAGTTAATGTCAATTTTTGTATAATTTTGTCCTTTGATTTAAACTAAGTTTTGGTTTTTGCTCCTGATGAATATTTTTTGTCAGGCACAACAGGGCCTTGTATATATCTTGCCATTTTAATTAAATTTTCATGAGTTCATATATTTTTTAACATTTTTTATATTCACAATATCCACCATATTTTTTACCTGCTGCCCAGTGAGCTAGTGTATGCCCTTCATTATCTTCTGTACCAATATTTGCCCCTTTTTCTAACAGCAGTTTTATCAGGTTCACGTTGCCCACCAGTACAGCTAGTGCCAGCGCAGTATATCCCTGCTCATCCTGCACCTCGAGGATCGAACTGTCGTTCTCGAGGAGCATCTCGGCACACTGGGTCTCTAGGTTGTCGGCACAATGATGGAGAGCCGTCTTCCCCGAGGTATCACATGCTGTCACCAATGCCTGAAGTATGATTTTAAAACGTAATGAATACATGTATTTTAACAACATTGTTACTTCACAGGTCATTAAATATTCAGTATTATCAGGAAATGGTAATAATTCATACCTGATGTTAGGGAAAACTGGTAGCAAAGTACTAATGGCATGGTTAAAGCCTTGATCATTAATATTTAGCCTGTGTAATTTTAGCATTAGAGAAATAGATATGCTTTTCAATCAAGCAAATTAACAAAAAAATCATTAATTTTGTTCAATAATAAATAATTAGCAAATTTAGAGGCATTTAGTTTACCAACTGCTTGTTTATACAATAGTATATTTTCATGGATTAAGAAATATTGAAAAGAGTTTTTTTACAACAAAACTAGTGAGAGCTGTCATTAAGGAGTGACAAAAAACCCACTTTTCACATGACACAGAGTTTTATGTAGTCATTAAGGTAAATGTTTGAGCTTCCATCAAAGAGAATAGGTTTTAATGATTGGATAATTGTCTGACAATTGACCTTTAAGTGACAGCCAAGCATGTGTTCTAAGCATCACCTTTATGATGTGAATATTTGATTAAATATTGAAAAAAAATCCTTCATATAGTGTAAGATTTATAGATCTGAAACAAAAATTGTCTGACATTTGACTTTCACCTGTGATTCTATTCTAATGATATCACAGTGGCGGCATGAGTTCTGCATGTCACCATGCTGAGGTGAATGTTTGAGCTCAAATTGAAGAAAATCCATCCTTCAAAGATTTATAGAGCAAACACAAAATTGTCAGCCCTTACATTTAACCATCAAGTGAGATCTCGACCTTATGCCTGACTACATGGACAGCATGGATTCTACACTGCCTTATCTTGATGGACATTTGACCCAAATTTGAAGAAAATCCTTCAAGGGGTATAGCCTTTAATATATTTGAGCAGATAAGTTAAAGCTTCTGTCCCACACATTGTAGTTTGGGCATTTTTTAAATAAAATGTCATCAAAAGATAAAATTTCACCACAGACTTGTGTGTTTATATGGAACTAGATGATTAATAAATGTCTTGCTATGTTAATGATGCTGTAATTTTAAACCATTGAAACTTTTTATTTTGTAAATATTGACTTAAATTATTTTTAACTGGTTGCAAGTAGATCCATTGGTTGCAGGTAGTACCCCTTAATCGATTGCTGCACAATATATCATAGAAAATTATGTCTATATAAAGAGACAAATAAAGAAGAATATAATTATATCAGTAATCCAGTTTAAAACTGATATTTATATAGTAAGTTGCAACAATATGTTCACAATTGTGATAAAACAGTTGTTTATATCTGTGTCTAATAAAACATAACAACTGTTTGTGGAAACTGCAACATTTACTTCTATGCATATTTAATAATTGTAATCAAATATGTTGATGGTTATTAGACCCGTTTTGTGTGGGAGAGCTAAGCTTTAAAGACAGATGTAGGAATAAACAGACCCATGCAACAAAGTGATTTCAGTTAAGCCCAAATCACATTGTTTGGAAAAAAACATTTTACATAATAAAATATTTTACAAACAATAGCTTTAATTAAAGCAAAATTTCAATTATTGAAGCTCTGATGGCAATATTGGAGACAATTTAACCACCAGTATTAAGCTTCACAATCAGTCCTATATATAACTTAACCAAGACAGTTCCTGAAATACAAAACATGACAACAAATTTATTACCTGGGAACAAGGGGAAAAAGGGATGATAATGATACTGACCCCATTTTCTAGCAGGAACTTGAGCTGTTCAGCGTTGCCGTTTTGACACGCAACAATCACAGGTGTCTTATCATCGTCACCGGGCTGGTCCATTATCGTTGTTGAAAATTTTGGGTGTTGGCTGATTATCTTGTGAAAGAATCGTATATCAGTTGACTCGCAGCAGAGGTATAAAATAGAACGACCTTCGGAATCTACAGTGTCAATACGAGGTGTATGTCTGAAAATAGAAAAATGTAAATCAATTTTTAAAAATATTGAATGAGCTGCCAAAGTCCTGACTGAACCTGAGGGGAATGGTCCTAAAACTTGGCAGGGATGACAAGAAGGGTACTACGGTGTATGAGCCACTAGTATGAAGAGATGGCTTAAGGGTGTCGGCCCTAATTGCTGGCACAAACAGTTTTCAGGGCTTACCTTCATGCATAATTCATTATTGTAACTGGTTACTGTATGTTAAATGTGCTCATTGACCACTGTACAGTGACATACTTTTCTGTTCAAAATTCATTTATTTGGCTAATACTTTGTGAAAATTTCATTGAGGTAATTTATCACAACTTAAGGTATAAAATTAATCAACTCTTTTAGGGCATGAGTGACATGTCCAGCGTCAGTACTTAACAGTGAAAGCTGCTTTTTGTACCTGAATAAATGAATCAATCCTCATTAAGCATATATTGCATACCTACAAAGTCTGACATACATTTTTTACTAAGAAAAGAAAAAATATTTACTTGTTTAAATCTGCAATATTTAATAATCTGCTAAAGATATCTATAAATGCTAAATGTACACCACAATGCAACCACTATGATCTCCCCAGACACATTTAGTATTTTAGAATATTAAATGCACATATGATACCTCTAATAGAATAAAACTCATCAATTATCATGACCTTAATTGACAAAATATACAAGGCACTGGGAAAACCTTAATAATTTTTACCGTATTTCAATGTAGATATTATATAACCTTTATATTACAGCTGAAGCTTTCACTTTTTGCTAGACTTTCATCACATCACACAAACAAAACAAGTTATTTTAGCAATTTAGATAAGGAGGCTTCTTTGCATACTAAACATAGTTACAGGACCTAAAAAGAAGTTTAAAAGTATGACACTATTTGTTAAGAGTATGTGCCGTATCAGCTCATTGATTCTATTTTAAACTGTTATCTGAATTCTAAATGATATTGCAAATTGATTTGTGAAGGTCACATTTAGAAATGCAGCAGTAAATAAATTTTCATTTTATGAAAAGTAAGCAAATTTTAAAGAGAAATAAGTAAAGCAGCATGATCTGCTTTTTCTGGAAGAAATTATAGTAAATGCGACATTTAATATTATTACCCCTCACTTTTGGCCAATGGGAGTTATTCAAGTGTAGCATGTGACTGAAAGTTTTGTACAGTGACGTAGGCAACATTTTTTTTTCATAGTAAAAATCTGAAAAATAAAAACCTATAGGAAATGTGTCCAAATGAAGCAATTTGTTTGGAGTAATAAATCAAATGACATAGGTCTGTAACAGCAAAAATATCATCCCTCGTAAAAATACTGTTACCCTCGACAAACACCTCTGAAGTAATAGTTCTTTTCATCAAATGATACTTTTACTGTTACTTACAAACGTTTTAATTTACTACTTGACTGTTAACTGTGTTTGAAGGACCTGCCCTGATTTTAATTTGGATCAGCGTATGTCCATTAGAAACTAAAGGATAGTGACATCTAATTAAATGTCTCAGTCGCAAAACAATATAGAGCCTACTCAAATGTACAGGCCAGCCTGGCTCTACACATGTGGCATAATGTGCAAAGGTTCTGCAGATCAGGTTCAAGAATAAATTTAAGGCTTAAACTATAATTTCCCAATTTTTTGTATTATTATATTGATGACTATATCACCATATGGAAAATTTCAATCTTTATGTTCAAGTATTGATTATATCATTTCATAAAGCATTGAGACATTGTATCTCTAGTGTAATATCATTACATAAAGCATTAGAACATTGTGTTTCTAGTGCAATATCATTTCATAATGCATTACATCATTGTATCTCAAGTGCAATATCATTTCATAAAGCATTATATCATTGCATCTCTAGTGTTACATCATTAAATAAAGCATTAGAACATTGTTAGAACATTGTTTCTCTAGTGCAATATCATTTCATAAAGCATTGCATCGTTGTATCTCTAGTGTAACATAATTTCATAAGGTATTAGAACATTTTCTCACTTAAGTGCAATATCATTTCATAAAGCATTGCATCATTGTATCTCTAGTGTAATATCATTTCATAAAGTTTTAGAACATTGTATCTCTAGTGTAATATCATTTCATAAAGTTTTAGAACATTGTATCTCTAGTGTAATATCATTTCATAAAGTTTTAGAACATTGTATCTCTAGTGTAATATCATTTCATAAAGTTTTAGAACATTGTATCTCTAGTGTAATATCATTTCATAAAGTTTTAGAACATTGTATCTCTAGTGTGATATCATTTCATAAAGTTTTAGAACATTGTATCTCTAGTGTAATATCATTTCATAAAGTTTTAGAACATTGTATCTCTAGTGTAATATCATTTCATAAAGTTTTAGAACATTGTATCTCTAGTGTAATATCATTTCATAAAGTTTTAGAACATTGTATCTCTAGTGTAATATTCATTTCATAAAGTTTTAGAACATTGTATCTCTAGTGTAATATCATTTCATAAAGTTTTAGAACATTGTATCTCTAGTGTGATATCATTTCATAAAGTTTTAGAACATTGTATCTCTAGTGTAATATCATTTCATAAAGTTTTAGAACATTGTATCTCTAGTGTGATATCATTTCATAAAGTTTTAGAACATTGTATCTCTAGTGTAATATCATTTCATAAAGTTTTAGAACATTGTATCTCTAGTGTAATGTCATTTCTTATCCTGTCACTTGTATCAATTTCGGCCCGATAACAAGGTGTCGTATATTTTTACTGATCTACGGCACTTGATCACGTGGTATGCATGTTTGCCGGACTACTTTTCAAGAAAAAATATAAAAACTGTCGTTAAATCTTCTGTGTGTAGAATAACGAATTTTGGAAACGTTGATAAAACTTTGTTTGTTTATTTTATTTCACTCTATAATTTTTCAAGCGAAATAAAAATTATTAAAAGTGAAATAAATGTAAAACTTAACTCGTTTTCGACATTAAAATAGCGTACTTGATTTGATTGTTTTGCACGTGCTGTTTGGCGCTACATTGTGACGTCACGTAAACAATATTTTAAACGTCTGTACAGCGTTAACGACTGAATAAAAGATATTGGTGTTCGAATTCATTTTCTTAGTTAGACCATTTTTTTTTCATTCTAGATAGTTTTCACAACAAAATTCGACAAAAAATTGTTTTTATTTATCACATTTTTCAAACAAAATGGTGCCCTCAATGTGAAAATACACAGGGAGATAATAAGAACGGCTAGTGCATTGTTGTAGAATAATGCACGCTTCGGGCCTTCTTTGTTTATATAGAAACATTTCCGATAGTGTGATTAAAGGTAGTTTGCCTAATAAAATTCTTTAAAAAAACAGTGACAAGATAAATAGAATAATATATTGGTGCCGTGGATGGAGAAAGTTTATCTGGCTCTGCTCCGGAATTTATTGCGTTCGCCTTCGGCTCACCCAAAAAATTCCTCCGCCTCGCCAGATAAACTTTCTCCATCCACGGCACCAACCTATTATTCTCTATATAAAGTATTAGAACATTGTATCTCTAGTGTGATATCATTTCATAAAGTTTTAGAACATTGTATCTCTAGTGTAATATCATTTCATAAAGTTTTAGAACATTGTATCTCTAGTGTGATATCATTTCATAAAGTTTTAGAACATTGTATCTCTAGTGTGATATCATTTCATAAAGTTTTAGAACATTGTATCTCTAGTGTGATATCATTTCATAAAGTTTTAGAACATTGTATCTCTAGTGTAATATCATTTCATAAAGTTTTAGAACATTGTATCTCTAGTGTGATATCATTTTATAAAGTTTTAGAACATTGTATCTCTAGTGTGATATCATTTCATAAATTTTTAGAACATTGTATCTCTAGTGTGATATCATTTCATAAAGTTTTAGAACATTGTATCTCTAGTGTGATATCATTTCATAAAGTTTTAGAACATTGTATCTCTAGTGTGATATCATTTCATAAAGTTTTAGAACATTGTATCTCTAGTGTGATATCATTTCATAAAGTTTTAGAACATTGTATCTCTAGTGTAATATCATTTCATAAAGTTTTAGAACATTGTATCTCTAGTGTAATATCATTTCATAAAGTTTTAGAACATTGTATCTCTAGTGTAATATCATTTCATAAAGTTTTAGAACATTGTATCTCTAGTGTAATATCATTTCATAAAGTTTAAGAACATTGTATCTCTAGTGTGATATCATTTCATAAAGTTTTTTAGAACATTGTATCTCTAGTGTAATATCATTTCATAAAGTTTTAGAACATTGTATCTCTAGTGTGATATCATTTCATAAAGTTTTAGAACATTGTATCTCTAGTGTGATATCATTTCATAAAGTTTTAGAACATTGTATCTCTAGTGTGATATCATTTCATAAAGTTTTAGAACATTGTATCTCTAGTGTGATATCATTTCATAAAGTTTTAGAACATTGTATCTCTAGTGTGATATCATTTCTTAAAGTTTTAGAACATTGTATCTCTAGTGTGATATCATTTCATAAAGTTTTAGAACATTGTATCTCTAGTGTAATATCATTTCAAAAAGTTTTAGACCATTGTATCTCTAGTGTAATATCATTTCATAAAGTTTTAGAACATTGTATCTCTAAGTGAGTGTGATATCATTTCATAAAGTTTTAGAACATTGTATCTCTAGTGTGATATCATTTCATAAAGTTTTAGAACATTGTATCTCTAGTGTGATATCATTTCATAAAGTTTTAGAACATTGTATCTCTAGTGTCATATCATTTCATAAAGTTTTAGAACATTGTATCTCTAAGTGAGTGTGATATCATTTCATAAAGTTTTAGAACATTGTATCTCTAGTGTAATATCATTTCATAAAGTTTTAGAACATTGTATCTCTAGTGTAATATCATTTCAAAAAGTTTTAGAACATTGTATCTCTAGTGTAATATCATTTCATAAAGTTTTAGAACATTG